AAAAAAAAAAAAAATAACAATCTCCAGTCGAGTCGACGAAAAAAAAAAACAAAAAAACAAAAAAAAAAAAAATAACAATCTCCAGTCGAGTCGACGTGACGGGCTGTGATTGACGTTTTTCTTTTCTTTTCAACAATCACCTACTAAAAGTTCAATGGCTGGTGTTATACGTACATATAGGTATATACACGGGGCAAGTAAACACCTCACGTATGCCTGTGCGCATGCCGTATACGCGTCAAAAGTTGTTTACCCTCGCGGAAGCTCACACGGCGACGCGATTGTCATTGCGATAGGTGGTACTGAAAACAAACAAACCCGGGCAAGTCCGAGGGATCGCAGCATCCGCGAAGGAGGTGTACACGGGAACGAAGCAAAGAGGAGGAGGAGCATATGAGAAAGGGGGGAAGCTCCGTATAAAGCCGGCGGTGGACGGATTCGGCGGCTTAGCTTGCGCGCACCGGTTAACCGAGACGGACGGGCTATTGTATCGCACAGCTCGCGTTTTGGATTTTTTTTTTTTTTTTTTTTTTTTTCCCGGGTGAAAAACAGTGATACTCGAGTTGATCCATCGTCGCGTGTCAACAACCATGTAGCTTTGACATATCCTGGTTGTTGAATATTTTTTTTTTTCAAGGGGAGTTTTTTGCTCGGTAAAGGTGGAGTCGAGGACCATGGGGAGGACCGCGATACTGGGGATCGCGAGTTTGTTGCTCCTTGCTCTGGGATGCGGCGCGGCTGAGGTTGACTTTGAGCTTCAGGCGGCCGAGGACGACGACGATGCCGTTGTTTTGGAAGGTGAGTTACACAGGCGTGTTTTGTACGATATTCGTACGGAGAAAGTTTTCTTCGGGGACTATTGGAGCGCTTTCGATTGTCGCGAGGCGGATTTGAAGTACGCGCACAATTAATTACGATTCCCTCGGCGCGACTCCATCACCTTCGAGTTTGGACACGATTATTTTATGGATTATTCGATGCATTGGAAGAAATTTTTTTTTTTTTTCCGGAATATAACGCATTTTTGCTGGTAACATTATCACTATTTACAATAAAATACCAAGAAAACATTTGTAAAGCAATTAAAATCAAACATTTTATTACTTTTTTCATTATTTTAAAGATTTTTTTTTTTTTCCGGAATATAACGCATTTTTGCTGGTAACATTATCACTATTTACAATAAAATACCAAGAAAACATTTGTAAAGCAATTAAAATCAAACATTTTATTACTTTTTTCATTATTTTAAAGATTCTTTTTTCATCTACAACTGATATTTCCTTTAAAACTGTAATGGACTGTTTTTGCTGGGAAAGTTTTGTCAAGTGCCATGTTGATTAAAAAAAAAAAAAAGCATTTTATTATTGTCAAAAAAATGTATTGCGAAAAATTGAAAAAAGCATCCGTGCTCAAGTTTGTCCACCTCTGATCTACCTACGGTAATATAGCGATGTTGCGTATTTTATAAATTCAATGAAAATTCCTACACCCAAGAATTGCATATACTTGCGATGACACAATTTTTAACAACGCCACCGCTATTCTTGCTTTGCATGATAATGGAAGTAAACAAAAGCCACGAGGAGCCACCGAATTTACCGATGGCGTTCTCGATTTTTTTCGCATCGGTATTTACATATAAGCTTTCTCTGTATGCCACATTATTATATATTTTATTGTTACAACAATATTAGACTGAATGACAAATGTGACCCTAATAAGGTATCTCCCGTTCCACACTTACCTAATCGTTACTTTACACATACGTGAGATTGGTTTACGAGGATTTTCTCGTAGGCAAAAACACGTCGCTCTAATGGCGAATTAAAGTACATAATACGCAATTGCGTCGAAAAGCGAGACGAGCTTTTTATTGCACCTGGCGAAACGTGTAAGCAGTAAAAAAAAAACAAAAAAAAAAAAAACTTTATTATTTTTCATTACCTAATCGATGTCCGAGAGTATTCTCGTGAGTAATGGAGCGCGCGGTAAAATTTCATAGCCGAGCGTCAGGTATGCGGCGGTGCATGCACCTGCAGCGTACACACGCGGTCAGCGAACTTTTCCTCTTAGCGGGCGTGTAATGCAGGTATATATATCCTCCTTTTTCTCCTCCTTCGATGGGAGCTTCTCCCCTTTCTTGCGTCTCTCCTGCCCGACTGGTATCGATGAGAGTATCAATATACGCGTATATACCCGATGCGCCGCATTACATTACCTCCACGATTGTCACTCCTGTTTTCTTGCCAAGTTCCTCTTGGCTTCGCGGAAAACTCGGCACTGATCGCCGAGAGTATAATCCAAGCCAGGTGCCTATTACACAGATATACCTACGTAGAGCAAGAAATGGCTTGCGTATACATGCTAAACCATATTTATGCGCCCAAAAAAAAATATATATAACTTGCACTTTTAACTTTGCGGCTGACGCTTTTGTTTTATTGCGGGCGATTTTTTTTTTTTTTTTTTTAATCGTGGTATTCCGATCTGGTCTATCAATTCCTACATACACGAGGTTTGGTTGTTATTACTACGATGATCGTTAACCGATTAGGACTTTTTTTTTTTTTTTTTTTTTTTCGTTCATTATTTATTGGCTCGTTTGACTTGAGCCGGGGGTACGGGGCAGGATATAGAGGTATCAATTTCCGATTTACCCCGGCCCAACGGATTACCCGCTACATCACACCTTTCCGTCCACACACACGATTTATGAGAATGTACACCCTCTGGCGATCAAGATTTCATCAGACCCCTCCCTCTGTATACCTCGTAAAATTCCAAAAATGGACAATTAACGTCACGCGTGTCCTTAGGAGCTAAATTGCCTTGTAATTTATTCGTTTGAATATAAATGTGATTTATTGCTCACGTGTCGTATACAGAAATAGTTTCAATCTTGAATAAAAATACGGCAAAGTTAGATTTCCTCGTGATCAGCCGATCCTTGAGGCACCGAGTATTATAATGTATACACATAAACTACGACGCTCCCCGTGTATTGCAGCCCCATCGAGACGCAGAGGCCGACACCTGTACATCCAGAACGAGTACTGCGTGACGTTGAAGGGCGCGGTGGGCAAGTGCTTGACCTTGAAGGAGTGCTACCCGTACTTTAAGATCCCGGTACGAGCACTTTCTTTAAAAATAGTGATCGATATTTTTTTGTAAATCTCAATAGCGAGGGATGAACTTTGTGTTGATTGTCTCAGAACTTTCCGGCGCTGGAGGGCTGGGTTCTCGGTATCTACGACACCTGCAGCTACACCGAGAAAGACGGCAGGTTGAGCTACGGCATCTGCTGCGCCGATCCGCCGCCTCAACCCCCGAACATCGACGCGCCCCCTGGTGGACCGATCATCGAGGCACCCGACCCCCACCAGGAGGTGAGTCGTGTGGTTTACATAAAATACCAACGACAACGACAGTCACAATAATTCTCGAATCCCCGGCTACAGTTGAGCGTCAACAGTCCCAATAGTAACCCCCATGGAGGTTGGCCGCCCCCTCTGCCAACCCACCCTCCGCACCACACGGTCATCCCTCCGCTGCCGACGCACCCGCCGGGCCATGGCGTCGCGGGCTTTGTTCCACCGTCGACGTCGCTGATCCCACCAAGGCCATCCAAGGTTCCCTCGACGAGCCATAGGCCGAGCGTCGCCACGACTTGGCCGACCAAGCGCCCCGGTGGTTTTCCCTCGGCCACGGGGCCTCCGTGGGTGGCTGGCTCTTCGGTGCACCCGCCCTCCAACTCCCTGAACTCGGCCTGCGGATCCAAGAACGGCGCCCAGGATGTCTACTACGCCCCGCCGAGTGAAAAGGAAGACGACCCGAGGATCGTCGGGGGCACCACGACCCAGCAGGGAGAGTGGCCCTGGATCGCTGGGCTGTTCAACGCTGGTAGGCACATATGCGGCGGCTCCCTCATCGACGACAGGCACATCCTCACCGCGGCGCACTGCGTGGCCCAGTTAGTACCTAAACTACAATGATATATACAATGTACAAGATAATAATGATGATCGATGAATTTGCAGAATGACATCGTGGGACGTGGCCCGGATGACGGTGAGGCTAGGCGACTACGACATAAAGACGCCGAACGAGGTGCGCCACGTTGAGAAACGGGTCAAGCGGGTCGTCCGACACCGGGGCTTTGACATGCGCACCTTGTACAACGATGTGGCTTTGCTGACGCTCAACGAGCCCGTCGAGTTCACCGAGACCATCAGGCCGGTTTGCCTACCCTCCGGCTCGAGTCTCTACATCAACAAAATGTCCACCGTCATCGGATGGGGCTCGCTCAGGGAGGGTGAGAATAACTTTTTTTTTTTTTTTTCCTTTGTTTTTTCCATGACGCGCGTCAGTCGCTTTTTTATTTATTATTATTATTATTATTTTTTCGTAGGGTATTGCTTACACTTTGAGAACGAGTTACAAAACTATGTCGCATTCGTACATTTTCAGGATATTTATTTCGTTTTGTGAATTTCAACGAGCACGACCAATTTTTTCGGCTCGATTATATTTGCAATAAAAAAAAAATGGGTGCGCACATTTTTGCGCTCTCCAACTGAGGGAAATTTTATCGTTTTGAAATACATATGAGCTGAATTTTACAAAGTATATTTACAAATCAAAGTAACATTCTAAGCTACTTATTCGACTTTTCGGAGTATATTGCATTTGATTTTTAATATCACGAGATGTTAATCACGCCGACAAAATATTTGCGATCTGTTTGTGCTAATTTCTTAGTATCGTTTTCAGCTGCTTGTTTCCGCATTTAATTGTCTTTTTTACAAGTTGCAATGTCGATACAGCAGATGTAATTAAAAAAAAACATGGTTATGTACAGTACTTTTTTACCATGAATTAAAAATTATGTTTGGCCTTGCTTACAAGAAGCATAGCTTACAACTCGATCATCTTATTGCCATTGATATGGTATGCTCTATAATATGTATAAACAATTGTACATTGTATTATAAAATTGACAGGCGGACCTGCTCCGGGTAAATTGCAAGGAGTGACAATAAAAATTTGGCCCAACTCCATATGCAAACAAAAATATGGCAATGCAGCCCCCGGCGGTATAGTCGACAGTTTTCTTTGTGCCGGGGAAGCAAACAGAGACTCGTGTTCCGTAAGTACATTATTTCCAGTCTTGAATTTATCTTTACTTTCGCCGCGTATTAAAAATCATTACAATGTTGCCAGATTAAATCGTACAAGTTTTTTTTTTTTTCCAAATAAAACTGTGATTTGATTTAAAATGTGTAAAAAATAAAAAAGGTAAAAAAATAGTAAAAACGATAAAAAAATAAAAAATCGCTGAATCAAACGGTACACTAAAGTCAAAAGTAACAAGAATTTTCAAACAAAGATAACGCCTGGTGTGAAATTCGCAGGGTGACAGTGGTGGTCCGCTAATGGTAAACGACGGTCGCTGGACTCAAGTGGGTATCGTGAGTTGGGGCATCGGCTGCGGCAAGGGCCAATACCCCGGTGTGTACACGCGCGTCACGCACTTCCTGCCATGGATTTACAAGAATCTCAAGTAGACTATGCTCGAGAAAAATTCTGTCTGTCGTTCTTTTTGGATTTTATATCACTTTTATCATTATCCTTTGCCTTTATCCTTACTCGATCCAGATAATAGATGTCTGCTTTTCCTTAAGCGTGGAAAGGGAGACGATCTTCAACGCTCGGCTCGTGAGGATGAACGATCTCGAACGCTTTGTATTTCATAAGTAGTTAATCGACAAATTTTGTATTTAATAAAAATATGAGGAATCGCGGCGATCCGGCTCATGTGAGCACGGAATTCGACGAAACGCATGCTTCTTTTATTTCTAGTTATCTTCATTAGTCCTAATTCACTTACAACTGGAAAATTGTTTTACTGATATCATTAGAGTGTCAGAAAAGTCTTCTTTTCGAGCAGATTATATTTTCATGTCCAATCACTAAAACAATCTTCTAGGTATGATAAGTTTAAACGCTAATAAAAGTGCTTTCCACTATGGTCAGACGCACAAATATTTCGTTAAATTGCAACTCACATTTCGTTATCATTCTCCAAATTTACCATGACTTTTCATTTTCACTAAAACTTAGAGTAATTTTGGAATGTCTGACTACAATCTTTCCAATAGACTCTTCCACCAATATTAAACCTACTCTCGTTGCATAAAGTATAATAAAAAATTTACTGTATAACTTATCTGAAATTCCTTTGGATAAATCTGTAGTGATCATTCAATAAATCAATAGTCACGTATCGCAGCTGCTGACGTTGAGATGCTGTAAAATATTGCGTGCTGAAAAAAAAATATATAAGGCATCATTTTAACATTCACATTGTACTCAAAGTATTAAACCGATAAGCCCATTTTCATTATCTTCATTATATTATGTATTTCTTTTGTATTTAATAAAAAAAAATTACGCAAAGAGAAAACGAAAAAAAATGTATATTATTAATTTAACGCGTACCTTGAAAGTAGCATGTATCAAGATTGTCATCAGGCTGAGGAACGAATGGAGGCACAGCTTTTAGGGGCTCGTTCCATGGAAATTCACTAAAGAGCTTCATAGTGCGCACCTCTTTAGCTGTAGGGCGCGTGTGCTGGTCTAGAGTGAGCAAAGAATCAATGGCATCAATGGCATTAGCAGATAGGGTTTCCTCGCCCTCTGGCCAAGGTACGTCTCTCGCTAAGATGTTGTCAAATACAGCTTGGGGAGATTCATCGTTGAATGGCGGGACACCCGTACAGAACTCAAATAAACAAACACCCAGGGCCCACCAATCCACTGCCGGTCCATGACCTGAAATTTTACATGTTTAGTCAGCAAAACTCTTGAATAATAATAACAATGATAAATACTTTTTTTTTTAAAGCTGACCTTGGCGCATAAGTAGTTCTGGGGCTAAGTAATCCGGAGTACCAAGAATTCGTTCATCTGATCGATTGATGCCTCCTTGAGGGCCTCTTCTCACAGATTTTGGAGTTCTGTAGGGCGTGTAATTATTTTCCGAAGCGGGTGGTGTTTTAATGGGCGAAATTCCTTCTGGTGATCTGTGCTGGGCTTGCAGCTCGCTACTGTCAGTATCGTCGGCAGTCCTGTCCGGTGTTACGCTATCTCGTGGCAGATCGAATCTCGTTGACTTGAGCACGGGCTCGTCTTTTTTTAATGTCTTCTCGTTTGGTCGTTGTTTGGACGATGAAACTGGTGTACTAAAAGCTACCCTTGCAGAGCCTTCGGCTGCTTCTACTTTGGATGCTGCTTCGGCGTTCTCAATCTTTGAAGCGAACGATGGGCTTGCGACGTTGAACTTTGGGCCTCGATTTTTCTTTTTCGGCGTCACGTTTTCATCCAGACCCATCATACAGATTTCCCTCGTGAGCCCAGTCCCGTGCATGAGATGTCTCTGACGTTTTCGTTTAATTCCTCGGGACTGTGTAAAGTCACAGGAGCTGAGTGGACTAGTGTGGGGCAGAGGATGCACCGACTTTTCGCCTTCGAGAGTCGACTGTTCCTCGTCTATAGCATGACCGTCGATTTCAGAGGCATTGGTCGAGGGCGCCGTATGGTAACCATTTGAACCCGAGTTCGTGCAAATCCCGGACATTCGGATTTGCTCAGGCGAATGCAAAGACGCCACGCCAGAGACTCGGGAAAAGTCGCCGGATCGCATATCCGAGGATCCAAGTGAATTTAGGCTGTCATGGTATTTAGGCTTTCTGCCGCGTAATCTGAGCTTTGGTAACAGGTCAGTATCGAGATTACTTTGCATGCTCAAGTTTAGCAGCTGCGAGTCATTGGCCGTGGACTTTAGGCCCGAGTCAAAGGTCAGATGCGACGTGAGGGAGAGCAGCTGACCTGGAGTCCGCGTGCACAGACTTGGCGTGCAGTTCATTAGATCAGATATCTCAAGTTCGCGTTGCAGAGTCGATATCTTACTAAGACCAAAGTCTGTCAGCTTGACATGACCCTCCTTTGAGAGCAGCATGTTGTCTGGCTTAAGATCTCTGTGCACGATACCATGGGAGTGAAGATATTCTAATGCTAGGCAGACTTCGGCTGTGTAAAAGGCAGCCATCGACTCTTCCATGTAGCCGTAAACTCCGACTAGACTTTTCAAATCACCTCCAACCATGTATTCCATAACTAAATAAACGCTTGTGGCAGATTGCAACGAGTAAAACAATTGTACGCAATAAGGGCTTCTGATGAGCGCGAGCGCATTTCTCTCTATAACTACTTGGGATACCATATTTTTGTGGATCATTTCGTTCTTCTTCATGACTTTGATTGCATAAATTTGGTCTGAGTTTGTCTTTTTGTACCCCAGAAAGACTTTGCCAAATGCACCTCTACTTATGGGTTTGACAATTTTAAAATCTTGAATTTCTGGTACCTACGAACAAAATATCTCCATAAAATCCTCTGTCCCATAAACCTTACACTTGATAAAATTATTTTGTATAAGCCTACCTTGGCAGTCGGATTGACAATTTTCGAGATGGTGTTGAAGATTGAGTTGTCGATGGGCTTGTTTTCTGGCTGCTGGGGTGTCAACAATCCCCTGCAGACGGTTTTCTCTGGATCGCTCTCGACAGCATCGTTATTGCTGCCGTTGAGAGCGGAGTTCGAGGCTTCCTGGGGCGATGTTTCAGGCAGTAATGAACCCTGCATTTTTACCCACCACTCTTGAGAGATTATGTTTTTACAGTGTACAAGTATTGGCACTGTCACACCATGCCAAGCTGCACCAACTAAGGTAAATAGAGTGTTTCACAATTATTACACTTAGAGTATACTTAGACTCTAAATCTTCCAGATATATGCCACCAGAATATATAGCCTATCAGGAACAACAGAAGAAGCGCCAACGCTTCATCTTACGCTAGCAAGTTCTGACCTGTTTTACTTGTATTTTCACTGATGGTTCATCAGTCATAGGTACAGTAATTCAACACGTCAGTTGGCGATGGACTTTTAAAAAGACACACACACATGTATAAGACACGGTTGGAGTCTGCTTTTTAAATGGAGCAAAAACGCGGGAAGTTCATTGGCGAAACCCATTCTTGCTCTTTATTATGTGTACACTTCAGGTTACAAGAGCGCCAACAAAACACGTTCGTCGATAATTTTGATAAGCTGTGTGTTTACAGTATTTACACACTGGTTTACAATATACTTTTTCAGACGATTCTGTTGGCAAACATGGCCGATCATATGATGAAAACATGCAGCGTGCAGCGACAAGTTCATTTGTATTCATGCATATGACGCTTTTTCTCTTCTTTCGAACTTCAAGTATACTTCAACCGTCGTCAAACTCAGTGCGCCACTGCGCATGGGGAAGAGAGGCTCGCGACCTCGCGCATATCATTGGCCATCCTCACTTATGTCCCCGATCCATTTGAAAATCGCTCTCTCTCTCTGACTGCATGCATGCACTTATCTTAATTTTTTGCGTCTAAGTAAAGTATACCTACCTACTTGAAATAGTTGAAGTTTCTATAACTAAACTCGTTTCGTTCATCATACGTATGTGTGTATAGGTTTAAGTCCGTGCGTAGTTCGGTTATAAAAATTAATAAGAATATTTATCAACGTCAGTGAGTGTAAATACCTAGGTACTCATAATAAGTTGAAGTGAGTGAAAGGGTGCATGTGTTACTGTGATACAAACTTGTTTACAAAATAACACGCGAATCCATCATATTAATTTCGGCTCGGTGCTTCTAGTAACCTCAAAAGCATGTCGAAAGCCGTAGCGAAAAAAGCTGCTCCGCGGAAAAAAGGAGCCAACGGTTACAAGCTGCCCGATCCGATACCCAAGGGCACGGTCCTGACGGACCTCAAGAAGCAGCAATGGATCATCGGCTCATCTATCGGTGTCGGTGGCTTTGGAGAAATTTACTCTGGTTAGTTGCACTCATATACCTGCAATTCTTCGTTTTTTTATGTCATCTACTTTGATTGTTTACATATTTCACGTGTTTGTTTTATATTGCGTTCAGCTTCACCATACTCTGGAAAGACACCCTCAGATTACTCCGCAGTCGTCAAAATCGTACGTTGGCTTCATTTCTGTTCGGCCACTATTTAATCTTCTTTCTTGTGATAAGAAATTTTTTTTAAATTCACAAATTTGACGCTTTTTAGGAACCGCATGGCAATGGACCTCTTTTTGTGGAAATGCATTTTTACATGAGGAATGCTTCTCCTAATGACAGTAAGTTTACCTATCTAGTAGAAAAATTGTTTTTCTAATTTTTTTGGGAATGATCAAAACTTTCGTTTATTTAAGTTAACAATTGGAAAAAAGAAAAGAAACTCTCATGCTTTGGCATGCCACCATTCCTTGGCTCGGGCAGTCATGAATTACACAATACAAAGTACAGATTTGTTGTAATGGAGCGCTATGGTACAGATTTGTGGAAATTATTTTTGGAAAATGGAAGAAGGTTCCCAGAACCTACAGTTTATAAAGTGTCGTGGCAAATTGTAATTTTTATATCAATTTTTTTTCAAGGATTTATAGTTCTAAGCTTTTATTAATTTGTTTATTTGTAAATATTTCAGATAAATGTTTTAGAGTATATTCACCATAGGACCTATGTGCATGCAGATATAAAGGGAGCCAATTTATTGCTTGACTTGAAGTCCCAAAATCAAGTTTATTTGGTTGATTTTGGTCTAGCTTCACATTACACAACAAAAGATTACAAATTAGATCCCAAAAAAGCTCACAACGGCACCATTGAGTACACTAGCAGAGATGCACATATGGGAGGTAAGGCCTAACTTTTTTTTTCTATTTAAATGAAAGTCACATACTTAAACATGCTTTTTTATTTTAGTGCCAACCATGAGAGGTGATTTTGAAATATTATTGTACAATATGATTCAATGGCAGTGCAGCACCTTGCCGTGGGAAAAAAATTTAAGTGATCCATCATGGGTTCAACAGCAAAAAGAAAGTGCATTGAAAAATCATCAAAAATTTTTAAAAGATTGCTTTTCAAATGCAGAAATACCAGAAACCATTAGTCAATTTACAGCATTATTAGTATCAATGAAATATAACGATACCCCAAATTATGATAAGTTTAGGGAAATACTAGTTAAAGGATTAAAAAAATTCAATCAATCTCCTACTGATAAGTTAGATTTCTCCTCCAAAAAATCTCTTGAAAAGTCAGTAGCAACACCAAAAAAAACACCAAGATCGAAAAAAATCATTCCAGCTGAAGAGGAGGCTTCACCTCAAAAGCGAGCAAAACCAACTCCTGTAAAAACAAGTTCGAAACCTAAGCGAAATAAGTTGCTTTTAGATGATACTTTAAATAATAGTATTGATTCAGTTATTTTAGACGAAAAGTGCATGACTGGAAAAGATATACGAAAACAGTTACTGAAGAATATTGATGGTGATGCGGAGTATGAAATACAAATCAAGAAAAGAAAAACACGAGGGAGCGCAACTGATACTCCAAGAAAAAAAGCTGCAAAAAGAGTGCCGAAAAAAGTAGAAAAATCCGTCAATACGTCATGCACTGATTCCGAACCAGAGGTAATCTTTCATATCAGATTTAAATTTAACATTTTTAGTTCATTAAAATTAATTTTTAATTCAATTGGTCTGTAGGTTGTTATAAAAGGAACTAAATCTCGTCCTGTGAAAACAGCTGTGGCTCAGAAGAAGAATGGAGTACAAAAACGACCATCAGGCAAAAAAACTGAATATGACAGTGAAAAGGATATGTTTGATGAGAGCCTTGATAATTAAAGTTGAGTTAAAAGTGAAACGAATTTGACTTGTACAAAATTGTTGTTAAAACAAAATCTAAGAAAACGCTACTGAAACTATTGTAATAAGCTAAAATTTTCGCTGCAGTAGGGTGAGCAGTGAAGTGTCGAATGAACTTATAAAGTTAACCCTTTGCTGTTCGTAAAAAATATTTTATAATTATGAAATACGGCTAGCCAACTTAGAAAAATACCGTTTATTTTTATTATATACTGTTTAATAAATATTTTACAATTTGTATATCTTCGAGATATAATTATACAAGTTAATATTAGACACACTATAACAACATTTTTTACAATCGCTTTTCAAAAATCTTATTAACGTTTTTTTTTTTTTTAAATACATCAACTTTAAAAAAAAAATAACATTACTTTTTAAATTTCATTATTTGTGGAGCGCTAATTTTGACCTTTCCAGGAATGTTTCTTGCTATTGTCTCATCTTTAACAGATTTCAAAATATCTTTTTCTCGAGGAGTAATAGATTTATCTTTCAGAAAAACAGCTACCGCTGTCTTTGCGGCCTTTCCTCGTTTGCCAGTTCCAGGAGTTAATTTTACTTTGAATCTAAAAATAAGTACATTTTTGTAATATTATATGGAAATAAATTAAAATTAGGTAATCACGATTCACTAACTTGTAACTTTGTAAAGTGCTGTAAGGTGCTACAACTGGCACAGCAAACAATAATTCATCTTCCACAAGAGGTTTGCCTGTCAATTGATCTAACATATCAACTTCTGGACCTGGGCCAGCATCTTCTTCGTCATTGTTATCTGCGTTTTGTTCATTCAACCGTTGCTGTTGCTGAGCTTGAAAATTAGATTTTGGAGGAGCGCCTTTTTTCTTTCCTTGTTGTTGCTTTGGTCCAGATGGATCTTTATTTTTACTTTTTCGTTTGTCTTCTTTTGGTGCACCTGCCGACTGAAATCCAATATACCCGATTTTTAATCTTTATGATTTACTAAGGATTTACAAAAAATATTTTATACCACTTATGTACCTGTAAAACTGTCATCAAAAGCTTACGATCATCTTCATCCTGATCTTTATATTTTTCCTTGATTTTTTTCAGTTTTCCTCGTTGACCTCTTTTTAATGCTGATTGATTATTTTTGTTTTGTACTTCAGAGTCATTCTGTTCTTTTTTGGAAGGAGCCTTTTGAGTTTTTATTTTTGCTGAATCTTTATTTTGTAAATTTTTCAATGGTATAGGTTTGTCGTCTCCCAAGTAAACTACATCATCATTGTCAGTTGGAATTTTTGAAATTACTTTAGAATCATCGACTTGAATTTTTACTCTGGAAAAAAATACATTTATATTTCATTTAATCTATTATAACGTAGTAACAAGTCTTAATGTTTCAAAAATACCAACTTTGGTCCCGTCAAATCCAATTTTATTTGCGTATCAGGAAACAGAGATTGTGACTCGTCACTATCGCTTTCTTCTTCTTTTGACAGTTCATTGTTCAAGTTTTCTCTTCCTTCTTCATTAATGGTATCCAAAGTATTGCCATCTTTTTCATCTGAAAGAATGTGAAATTTGTTAAAATATTTTATAAAAATGTAAAGCATAATAAAATTGATAAGTTCATACCATCCTCATCATCTCCATCTTCAAGTTCAATTTCATCATAAACTTCCATAGTTTTATCAGTTTCATCGCCATCCTCCAACGTCCTAACTCTTCTCTCGTTTTGATGTCTCTCAATCGAGCTATCTTCTAATCTAAACAAAAATCCCAATCCCATGATCATCTGACAATGAGGTAGATAATTTTTTTTCCCTCTGATCATAAAGGAACCTGTTGTTAGGTACTCTCCAGTAGGAGCAGTCTTAGATACTTGGTCACTGTTGACCCACCAAGCACCAGCAATGACTTTAGCTTCCCAAGCAATACTGAGGAAGAAAAAATTGGCCAGTATAAGTTGCTGTAAAAATTCTGAATTTCCAAGAACAACTTACCTGTATGCCACAGCCATGGTACCAGCTTCACCCAATGTTTTTGGTGGTACGGGACCTCCTACAGGATTTTTAATTACAACTGAACTGGCACCGCTCAAATCAGCGTGAACGTAAACGTCACCACTTCTCAAGTATTTCTTTACAATTAATTCGTTCTGTTGCCCATCTCTCCCGCCAATTACTAAAAAAATTTATTTTTGTAAATTTTTATCTTTTTTTTATGAAAACCATTTTTTTATTTACTCACCCAGATAGTTTTCCGATGAAATAAACCAAAAAAACTTTTCGAACCAGTAAACTTTCCGTGCCTTATTGATACTGTGAATAGCTTGCACTTCCTTGAGGGTCTGTTTTGTTTTCCTTTCTGCAGATTTCAATGCTTTCCCTTGAGACTCGATGGTTTTTTGGTGTTTTTTGGCAGCAGAACGTTTCTGATCATAGTATTTTGTGGCATTAGCAAATGCAGAATGGGCCAAGTCAATGTCTACTGTCATTGGGTTCAGTTCTGGTTCATCCTCATCATTATCCTTGTACGGATCACTTAGGTGTAAAGTAAAATGATTACTTTCCAATTTCAATTGTTTAATGGCACTTGCTACCGGATCTCCTTTTGCTTGTGCTTCTTTCACCAAGACTTGTATGTCTGGCCAAGCCATTTGGTTAGCCAGAGCACTCTGAATTGCCAGTATTGCATTATCAACTAACTCTTGATTCCTCATGATTAGTTCTGCCTTTTGTTTATCTACTTCCTGCGTTTTACCTAGCGACACTAATCTTTGGTCATGATCTTTTCTGACATTTTCCAATTTCTTTAGTGCATCGCGTTCTTGATGCAAGACTTTCAAATCTAATTTTTGCCCTTCCATCGTGGAAAAGTACTCGTCAACTGCTTTATCAAATGAATCATATTCTTTGTACAACTGATCTTTATACTGATTAAACAAACACGGATGAAACTCGATGTTTGCGTAAATAAACTCATCTTCACCATCTTTAATAGCCTTGGGCTCTTTCTTCTGAATAATATACCCTTTTGGCATTTCTTTTTTTGCGTTTTCTAACAACTTTTCTGCATTTTGTATAGCACTGTACAACCGGTCTAAATCTTTCTCGATATTAAAGTCTTTCCCAATTTTACAACCCCATTGAAAACCTGCCTCCAACAACACATGATCAATGACAGCAGCACCAACTTCTAGATGAGGATTTAAAATTTTCTTTAAAGCATCTCCTGGTTTAGCTGCCTTCATAACATCTTCAAATTCATCTCGCGTGGGTATTACTTTTGTATGGGCTCTGAAGACTGGATACTTTTCTCTTACAGCTAATCTATATTCAATGTGTTTTATAAAATAGTTGTATATTCAGGATGAGGAAAGAAAACTTGAGAATAACAACATACCTTATTTTATCCCCCTCTGTATGTGGTCTCAAGATATTAAGAATTGTCATATCGTAATCAGTCAACACTATGTTACCACGATCGTACAGTTCTAATATGACATGGTAAGCAGCTTCGTTAGAACCAAACTGTAAATCAATTATTCTGTCAACTCCAACTTGTTTCAAACTCTCGAGTCTCTTGTTTTTAAGATGTTTCCTCATCTATGAAAGGTTTAAAATTTATAAATACAAATTCAAATGGAATCATTCAATACCTGTGATAGAAAATATGCATCAAGAACCTACTTTCATGGAAAATCCTGAGGGAGCTACATTTTTTGGCCACTCAAATTCTGTCGTGTGCATACGCATGCCAGACTCCAATAATAAAATTTTCTTTTCCTCGCTTCTTTGAAATCGAATTAAATATGTTTTGTGATCTATGTCGTAAACTTGATTAACTCGCATTCCCACGAGGCTGAAATAAGTTTTATTTCAAAACAAAGTATTATAACCTGTCAACTTTTTTTTGTATTACATTTTGGAGGAAAAAAACTGTGAATAATACAAACTTTTGGAGCTCGGTGATGGAGCACACGATGTCATACGTATTGAATCGGTTCTTCATTTTTTCATCAATTAGCTACTCAATTATTGTGACAATCTGTTGAATTGAACATTTTACAACTCTCGTCGCTTTTACATGCATTCGTGGTAAGAGTTAGGTCACGGTCCCGTAAAACACGCAATCCACAATACGGAATCACTTAAGGTAGGACCTCCGCCTAAGTCTGGGGTACAAGACTTATATTATGTAATTAAATAGGTGAAGACCCGCTGAATCCAATGGTACCTTCAGTTATGCCCGATAACGGACAAAATCTCGAGTAACTGCGTGCTTATTCAAAGCGAATTGCATCTTGGTCTCTTGAATAGCGAAGCCAATTGTGGCATCCAAAGTGGCGCGACATTCAAATTGACTATATGGAGCATGACGCAAAAACCCAGATAACTCGACAACATTCCACATATGATAAATAAATAAACCCTAAGCTATTTAACCCAATAACCCGAAGCGCCTACTGGCTACTTTGTAATTTAATGTATTAAATAATAACAAAAGCCCCAATCACCACATAACCCGGGGCGCTTACTGGTCGCTTTGTTGATAAATATAATGATTTCAAAGTTAGTTCGCTTTGGGTACTCACAGTCTCACAATTCGAGATTTCGGAACGCTCCTTTTCAGTTTAGCGAGAATTTTGAAGCGTTCCGTTTCTCTTTGCGAGTCTCGCGACAATAACGGAATGCACCCACAGGGTTATTGGGTTATTGGATCTGTTCTCCAAAAAAACTATGATAATTTTGACTATGATAGGTGTAGGTAGATGAAACGAAAAATCATTTTTTTGAAAGATAAACCTTGAAGAATGTGATAAAAATTTACAACTTTTACATTTAGTTTAGAGAGAAATTGCAAAAGACTATCATCATTTTCCCATTCGTAATTCAGTGTTTACAAACTAAAGACTGTATTTAGGTGATGTTTCATCAATGCTCAGGATTACTTTCATTAAAAATATTAAATAAATTTATCTAGGATACAATAACATCATTCAACTTAAGTTAGTTTTGTTAAAAGTTTTTATTCAATAACATTGAAGAAAAAAAAAGTTTTTGAATATTAACGGTAAGACTTTTGGTATCGAGCACGGGCACCCGGACCACCAAACTTTTTCGGTTCGCATCGCCGAGGATCTGCGACCAAAAGTGTCCTATCGTATGTGATAAGGATTTCTTTAATTTCCTTTTTGCTTGCTTCATCAACATCTAAAAAGTATATGACACATGAGAAAACATTATATTCATTTCTTGACATTAAAAGTAGTTCTTGTGACCGTTTCAATGTGATTAAGTTCATAGTTTTTCATAACTACACTTACATTTTTGGTAATATGCGACTAACGCTTTAGCTATTGATTGCCTTATGGCATAAATTTGCGAGATGTGTCCTCCTCCGTTAACTCGGACCCTAATATCCACTCCAGCAAATTTCTCCTGAAAAGTTAAAGAAGAAAGCATATTAATCCATCAATTCATATATTTCTTAACATTTAAAGTTATGAGAGAGTCAATTCAGTAAAAACCATTGTGTAATCAAGAACTATCATGTTCGGAATAAGTTAAATTCATCAGAATGCCCAATTAATGTACCCTATACTTTGTAAGACGAGAAGCTTGTAAAAAGCCTCTCAAATTGAAAATAAATCAAGTAAAATACCACGAACCGTAAGAAAGTACCTAAATCAGAAAAAAATTAAAATAAGCATACCTTGCCAAGCAGGAGTATCGGCTCCTGGAGTTTGTACTGAAGACCACGGGGCTCAAATAGCTCCAGAGGACGTCCGTTCACCCGCATGACTCCATTTCCTTGTTTACAGTAAGCGACCGCTGTGGCACTTTTCTGTACGGAAACATTTGATTAAAATCACAATAATTAAACATCGGTGCACAAAAAATATCAACAAACAGGCTATTAACGCGTGGTCAAGTTGCCATAACCTCGGCACGACAAATTGCACTGAAGAACTCACCTTGCGTCCGAAGACCTGAACGGACTGGATCTGTGGCTTTTGTTTCTGAAACAATCGCAATATAATGCATTTAGTTTGAATGATTTCGGGGCTAAAGTTTTAATTGTTTAAATAAATTTGCAAAAAGTTCACTACACCTTTGCCTGCATGGTGACGGATCGACCTCACGAAGTTACACGAAAGAACCAAAAAAAAGGCGCTGCGGTGCGTAAGGAAAGATGGAACTACATCGGTCAAAATTTTTTTTGGAAAGCTGCGCGCTACACATGCTAGCCAACTGAACCAATTCAAGAAATTTTATTTATTGGTGTTGTAGTTGGCTCTGTTGATGCACCGAAATTTGATTTTCCATGCATTGTTTGCATAAGTACCTATGTTAATACATATTCCTTATTACTATTCAATGATTTATTTCTTACTTTTAGATTTATTTACATATTCATTATGCTCATTTGACGAGGGGATAGATAATTTTTTCAATAAAGTTATGTCTTCTACTACTGTACCTATATACATTTAAACAAACTGAGCAATGGATAATTTTTAAATTACCAAAATTTAGTTTTAATACTTGAAAATTACTTTTCCGCCCTCGGGTGGTTTTGGGAGGCTGGTACTTCCTCGGGCGAAAAAGCAGTTTTCCGGAACTCGTTCGAAAAGTCTCCTTTACGAACCTCGTTACGGACCTCGCCTTCGGCTCGGGCCGCAAACCTCTCGGTTCGCAAACAGAGACTTTTCAAACTCGTAGGAAAACTACCATTTCGTCCCTCGGGCGGAGTGCTTTCCGCCCACGGGCGGGAAGAAACATTGTGGCCCTGCCGGGCCCAAAGTTTGTTCCCGCCCTAGGGTGGAAAGTAATTGGCGGGCGGAAAGTGTCCCCACGGGCGCGCAAGTTGTACTTTCCGCCCTAGGTAAGAATGGTAGTTTTCCTACGAGTTTGAAAAGTCTCTGTTTGCGAACCGAGAGGTTTGCGGCCCGAGCCGAAGGCGAGGGACGTAACGAGGTTCGTAAAGGAGACTTTTCGAACGAGTTCCGGAAAACTGCTTTTTCGCCCGAGGAAGTATCAGCCTCCCAAAACCACCCGAGGGCGGAAAATATACTATTCTAAACTCTATGATTCACCATAAATTTAACTTATGTTTGAATAAATCATCGTGTAAAATTAGATTTATTTTTAGTTAGATGCATTACTAAATGAAAAAATAAGTAAAAGTTTTACATTACATTTTGTACAAAAGTGTATTAAACGACAAAACAAATCACTCGATTTTTTTAGTGTTTTTTAATTTGAACATGACTCCTTCCACAATTGGTTTTTTTCCAACATCAGCAATAGGCAGAGTAGACATATGACTCTACAGAAAAAAAAAAAAATTATTTATCCAATAAAATGATGAATCATCCCGAAAGCTAGTTTTCATATTACCTTTGCTGATTTGTTTCTGGAATTCATATATCCTATTATCATGCTATTTGTTGAATGGCTCCAGAGGAAATCACCAATATTGTCTTCTGCAGAATATCTAATGGCAATCACTCCACACAGTTTTTCATTGAGATTTTGTAAAAACTTAGAATCTACAAAATGTATTTATTTACAGTATATTATTGACATTTTTTATACTAATATGTCCTTACTTATAAAATCTGACGTCATGGTATTATGTACACTAGTAGTAGGGCAGTCAGCATCTACAATACAATCTGCAATGGTACGAGCTAACGAAGTACGTATGAGGTGTTCTCCACATCCAGATGTACTAGAACCAACGGAAATATTTCCTTTACTTGCCCAAGAACCACAACCCCAAATAGCAGCCTGAAAAAAGGATAAAAAAAACTGTTATGTTTTTTTCTGAGAAATTTTTTTCAATTTTTTTTTAACCTGGCCAACTCTTCCTGGAAATTTTAATATAATTCCTCCACTAGAACATGCAGCTGCAACATTACCACATCCATCAATACAAACAGCACCTACGGTATCCATACGTTTTTTAATTTGCTGAAATAAATTTTAACATTAAATTTTGTTAGCAAATTTGTACCACCTGATAAAAGCCGGCTACTATACATACTAGAGTGACTTTGCTGCAATCACCTTCAACTTTTCTTTTGTAATGTTTGTAAATTTTTTCAGCTTTTGCCGAAATCAAATTTTCAGCAGGTACACATTGAATCCCCATTTCTTTGGCCCATGCTGATGCACCAGATCCGGTCAATAAGCTGTAAATTTTGTTTGCATAACGCACTTGTATAGCTAAATAAAAAAAAAAGTTTTACCTTGGTGGAACTCTGCCATGTCCTATGTTTACTGTTTGGTATTGGCACAAGCATTTAGCAACTTGAATGGGATTTTTCACCCCAGTGATGGCACCAACTGCTCCATATTGCAAATTTGAGCCATCCATGACACTTGCATCACATTCAACATTTCCATCATAAGTCAAGTTAGATCCATATCCAGCATTTGTCAATGGGGAGTCTTCCAATACAGTCACAGCACTAACTGCTGCTTCCAATACACTGCTACTTGATTTGAGAGATTCTATTCCCTAAAATAAGATAATCAAACAATAATTTTGTTGAGTTAAAAAAATTTTACAACTATTTGTTACCTTTTGACACGCTTCTTGACTTAATTTGAAATACTTTTCCTTCAATGTGCTAGAGTGCTGCCCTGCGCCTTTTAAATAAAATTCTGTGTAATAAATTTCGTCTCTAACTTTATTTTACTTAAATGTACTTACCCAGATGTACTGCAATAAACCCTTCGGTCGGATTATTCATTATCGAATCGAAATTGTTTGAATATTGAAATTTCTAATTAAGTATTCAATGCTTTACCATTTATGTACATGACTCATCGCTCGTCACCTTCACACTGTATCAAAATATCATTGCAAATCAATTAAGAGTTCTGGATGTCCTGGTGTGCAGTTTTTGTTTAAATAAATCTCAATATGTCAACCGACAATACTTACCTATACCAACTGATGGCAACTTAATGTCAAATCCCTATTTGATTTTTTGGCAAGTTTTTAATCTACACTTATAAACATACACAAGTTAGTAAAACGTTTATTTGATAAAGATTTGATCGCTTACCACATGAAATGTATATAAGAATATTTTTAACCGTGTTGTTCACACAAAACAAGTGAATGTGGTGTTAAGGAGTTGATCCTGGTTGATCGAGTTGGAGCAAGTGTTTGATGTGCTCTTGAAGGTTATGAGAAAATTAACGCAACCCCCATCAAACGGTCGAGTGCGTCGTGTTGTGTGTGTATGTGTGTCGCGATTGCGATAAACGGAAAACGGACTTTTCATTGTCAATTTACATTCAAGAAATGTTGAAATTTCAAGCTACTAAGTAATAAGTATTGAAAATTGAAATGCTTTTCGATCCAGAAAATCCAAATAAGTACTCAAAGCCGACTAGAGTCAAGGGAACACCCGCTTACAAATTCTTCACCAAGTTAAACCTATTCACCGTTTGTGCCATTGCTGGTCTTATAGAGTTGGCATTGTAATATTAATTTTATTGTGAAATTTATTTCTTTGAAGCTGCAGTGGTTCTTGTCACTTACATTTTTTCTTTTCAATTTTTCAGTCGCACACCTTATGTGGAAAAAAAGTTGCAGACCATAGCTGAGTGGACAAAAGAGGAAGACGAGGCGACGGAGCTCAAGGAGTACCTCAATGATGCTTTAGTATCTCATTTGCTTGAAAGAAAAAAGAGGAGGGATATGCCAAAGGATTCTAACTTGGAAATATGGTAGACTATTGCTGAAAAAATGTTGGGCAGTGGGAGCCAAGGTACAAGAGCAAACCTTAGATTTAAGTTGAGTCTTAAGAGAAGCAATAGTGACAGGTATGAAGATTATAACATCTGTAACATTTCTCTGTAGACTTTTAGCTTCAAACATTTTTCGACATTCTCTGGTGTAAAGATATGTATTAAAAGTAACAGCACTAAAATTTTTATGCATTCCTTCTTTTTTTCCTTTGATTCTAACTATTCAAAGTACTGATTATCTTCTTCAAGAATAATATGATTTCATTTTTTTATTCAAAAAATAACCTTCATCCACTTGTGACATGAAATTTTAATACATGTGACTAGTGCTCTATTGACTGATCTATTTCACATGTATATTAATGTGGTGTTACATGGAAAGACGACAATATTAAAATTTTGGAATATAATTATTAGTGGGGGAGAATAAGCAATTTTTTTTTTTTTGTAGCATACAAAACACTTTAGGTTCAAGTACAGATAGTTGCAGTAAATCATCGTCGCAAAATGATGGCGTATGCACCGAACAAAATGTCAAAAATGACAGCTTGGAAGATTTCCAATCCCCTAAAAAAGAAAAAGCATGCAATGATAAAAATGTCGATGACAGCTTGGCAGATTTTAAATCGCCCAAAGAAGAAAAAAAGCCTCATCCAATCCTTAAAAAATTTAAATTCGACAGAGAAAAGGTAAAAAAAAAATTGAAAAAATCCAAAAGCAAACCTACGAGATCTGCTGTAGATACAAATCAGCCGTCAATAGAGTCATCTTTTTTTAAACCACAAGCATCCAATCTAGCCGATAAGGAATCGTTTCCCTGTCCTTTGTGTCTAAAACCATTCAAAGATGATACGACATGCCATAATCATATGAAAACGTGTGCAGCGAAAAAAAAAATCTCTACTGAGCAATTGTTGGATGCAAAAAGATTACAAGATCGTCAAGCCGAAGAAAGAAAAGCATTGGGACTGCTAGCAGCCCCTGTCATTCCGGAAAAAAAGAAAACTTTTCGTTCAAAAAATTACGTACGTCAAACATTTTTTCTCCAATTGTTTAAAAGAAATTCTGTCCCCATTTGACAATATATTTTCAATTAAAATTGGGAGATCATCAGAATTTTTTCAATATTAAAAGTTACAACATAATCATTCAATGGAACGAGTCGCTCCAAAAATATAGCTCTCCCCAAAATTTTTCAGAGCACCGAAGATGATCCTCAGCTTCAGCTCGTTCTGGCCATGTCCGAATCATTGTACCAGGCAGAACAGCAGCAAGAATTTGAACAGGCCGCTGTTCTTGCCGGGGTGCCATCGGAGTGTCTGCAAGACATAAACGCAGAGGAACGTAAAACCCTGCAGGGATTTGGTTTCTCGACAAACAAACCGCTTCTAGTCGACGCCCCCGTACGGCAGAGTAAAAAAAGTACAGAAGCGACGGTGCTTACTAATGTTATCACCTTGACAGAGAGATAAGAAATTTAATGTTCCCTCGCTTTTACTATAGGAAAACTTCGTGGGCCTACGATACTTTTGAGCCGCTCGAAAGAGGACAAAGATCGCGTGCTGACGGAGCGAATAGCTTGCATTATCACGGGGGACGATGCCCTCACGCAATCAAGGAATGAGGACACTTCGACAGATCCTCAGAAAAGAACTGCCACTCTGCTCGCAAGTCAAAAACTTCGCAGTATCGAACGTTCGGTGAGTTATATTACGTATACAATTTATTAAAAATGTACTGTGTGTGTATATATTAGGTATAGATAGGTTATTTATCACTGCGATGATCATTTTAATACATAATATTCCCGGTTAAGTATTTATTTATAGGTTAACTTTTGATCTTAGATTTTGATGTCCAATGCAAAGTACAAATATATATATATGTATATGTATATGTATAATATACTGAAGGACAAATATATATGTAGTCTATTTTTCGTGTTACAACAAGTACGAAGTAAGTACCTATAACTAAACAAGTCTTTTTTTTTCAGAGTGACAGGCTGTGGGATCGTAGCAGGCTGACAAAAACGTGTAGTGATTTTTTTGTTGAACGGTTAAAGTCTCAATTGTTAGCATTAGACACTGATGAATCATGTGCTGTGAGTATCCAATATCAGAAAATTAAATTTAAGTTGTTTGTTTGGCAGTTGCTTTAAAAAAGAAAAACAGAAACTCATTTTGCAGAATATTTTTTGATCAATTAATAATTATCGCGTATTTGTATTAAGCATGAATCACGATGGAATTAAAGATAAAGTTTGAGTAATTTTAGTCATTTCCCACCAGACAATTGAGCAAAAAATCTATTACTATTTCACAGTGTTGATATAAATTTTAATATTCTGACAGGATTTGAAGGCACCAAGTGAAAAAACTAGTTTTGATGCAAACCTATCTATAGAATATGAGCCTGACGTTGATGTTGAAATTCTAATACAAAACAAGTACGAACAGGACACATTATTGGACGAGATGGATCTTGAATTATATTATATGAAGAAATCAATTGCTAACTGGAGTCAAGCCCTCAACAGCAGTGCACAGAGTGACGTCATTATTTTTGTTAAAAATAATAAGGAAATTTATGCCCACAAATTAGTGTTGTATGTGCAATGGTCAAATATTTTACACAGTATGGAGGTGAATGACTCGTTAAGGAGCTCAAAAATTAAAAATAAAATATGTTGGTTGACAAAAGATCAGCTTTCAGCTTTAGCATTTTTAGAATTCATTTATTGTGGTTGCATTTCCAAAAATGTTGAGGTTTTCGATAAAAAAAATTTATTAGCTGAAGTTGAGCAGTTGGCAACACAGTATAAAGTAACACAGTTATTAGATTACATCAAATTAAAGCAAAATGAGCAGAAGACCTCAAAGTCAAATGAATCTCGCAATACTAGTAGACACAGAGGTGGTCAAAATGCCTCTACCAAATCTATAATACATTCACCTTTACAGCAGTTCAAAACTCCAGCTCCATCAAACAAAATTTCTTACGAAAATTATAAGGTAAAATTTGACTTTGGACCCAGTAAGGTTGAACTGAATCTTTTACATATACTTTCATTTAAATTTTCAGGAAACTCAAGGGATTCCTGCTTTGCCTGCTAACGTGCAGCAAACTACAAGTTACATTAAAAAAAGAAGTAGACAGACACAAACTCATGATGTACAAGACTCCACAGCAAATTCTATTTCCAAAACAATGCAGAATCAGGGAACGCAAACAACAGAATCTTTAGAAAAATCTAATACAGATACTGAAATAAATGGATTGACTGAATGGAATCCCGAACCAGTGGTGGATTATCCAATGGAACCTACAGAGTCAAATGTTGAGTCAGTGATGAACTCTTCGGCTAGACCCATACAACCGATATTGCAAAATATCCGTGGACGACTCACTAATTCTCCAGAATTATTCGAATCATTGAATGAATCGCTTTTTGAAAGACACACTCAATCGGAACCAAGTCAAAACAGTACGGCCTTAAATGTTCTTGTAGATTTGGCTAATGATGATGTGAATGATGATCAAGTTGATGTTGTTCCGATCACGGAAGAGCAACAAGTACAAGATAATCCGAATGAGTGTGAAATCGTCAACTCACAAAAGACAGTTCACAACTTATCGCCAACTCCAAGAGAAAATTCATCAAAAAATACAAATTGCGCGGAAGTGATTGCTCTTGAGTCGGATGATTCTAATAATGAAGAATCGATATACGATGCAGTCACACCACCGCGGCGTAATTCTAGTGAAAGAGACTTTAGAAGTATAATTGAGAAAGATTCGTTTTTAAAAAAAATTGACCGAATCAATGCAAAGGATGATTTGGCATCGGATTCGGAATCTGATTTGAGTATTCTACAACAAAAAGTGAAGAATCCATTTTTAAAAAGGCATCGCGATGATTCATATCGATACTTACAAAGTGATGGAAAGAATGGTCCAAACAAAAGAGTAATCAGCATACTAGAACAAGATGTGTTAGACGATGAAAAATTACAAAATGCCTCAGGAAGAGAATCGTTGGGAGAAAATCAAACCCTTGATCATCAGACTGAAAAAAAAATTAATGAAAATTTTAAGGCAAGTAAAGACCTTAAAAAACCTGACGATTTACAAATAGTAGACGATTTAGAGCCCAAAAAGTTAACAAAAGACATACCCTCAAGTAATACCAAAAGTAGTAGCGATAATATTTCGGATTGTTCTAATGCAACTATTGATGACAATGAGTTATCTTTGTATTCCAGATATAAAAAACAAAATCAGCATAACAACAGCATACAAAAATATCGCAGCGAGTTGAATCTTGAGTCAAAGAGAAATAATTCACGACGAAAAAATCACAATACTAATAATGAAAAAACTGATGATAGTTCGAAAAGTAATTTAAAATCAGTTTCATCCGAAAAGAATGAAACATTGTCTGAAAATAAAAAAGTTGAAGATGTAACTTTAGTTGATGATTCAGATGAAGAGGAGCAAAACCCTTCAAAAACTTCAACTTCAACAAAGTCTGATTCACACTTGCAAAAAAATGACAATTCGATTCCAGCACCTAACATCAGTCGATCTGAATATGCAAGTCTTTCTTCCATTGATTTAGTGGATCAGGAAATTTCAAAAATTATGAACGCTGCAGAAGAACCAAAAGACCAATTTGTAGATTTGTGTTACGATTCTGATGAAAACGAAAAAGGTTGTACGTCAGTAAATAAAAATGGAAAACAAGGAAATGATTTATCAAAACAGCAAAAGGAAGCTTCAAATAACGAAATAATCGCAAACAAAGATGATAATGCTAAAAAAAATCATAATCTTGATTCAAGTGAAATAGCAATCTTAAGCTCAGATGATGAAGATGCAGAAAAACCGCATGATTCAAAATCTGAAAATTCTAGTAAAAATAAAATTAACGAATCTAATAAAAATAATAACTCAAACAAAAACAGTGATGTTGATCTTGGTTCCTTGGAAAATGATTGGTTTAATGACGATTGGACTTCTAAATCGCCCCCCGAAATAACCAGGGCTAAAACACGTTCGTCTACTTCAAATTTAAACAAGATAAACTCATCTGCAAATGAACTGGCATGTAGAAATGATTTTTCTAAATTTGATTCACCACAATCACCTCTGGCCTTGCCGTTGCAAGAACACCAATCATATAAGAAACAATTTTCTGAATTTGATTCACTACAGTCTCCTCCACTCTCACCTCCCAAAAATGTTGGACTTCCGGAAAACGAGTTAATAGAGATTGACTCCTCACCGTCATCGCCAGCCTCATATGAAGGAAGACCTACAGATGAGTTCTCAAAGTTTGATTCACCGCAATCCCCACCAGCTTCTCCATCCCAAAACGTAAGAATATTGCCAACTTCAACATCACCCATTTTAAGTCAAAACAGAAGTAGATCACAAGCTACGAGAAAACTTCAAACCAAATCAGCATCGACATCAAATTTTGAAACTCCTCCAAAAAAGAAAACGGAGAAAAAATCTCGTGAATATGAGGATGCTATGAACAATCTTAGTTTATGTGAAACACCCGAGTTGCATGTAAGATGAACATTGTACTTAGAATACATTTATTAATTACTTATTTTCTTACAAAATTTTATCTTACAGAAAAAATTGAAGGAATTTGGTTTGAAGCCGCAAAATCGAAAGAATTCTAAGCTTTTATTGAGGCACGTATATTCAGAATTAGCTAAAAATCCGGAAAATCGTAAATCCAAGAAAAGACTTATAAATGAAGATTCGGCAAGTGAAACTGAAGAGCCTCCTCTTAAAAAGCCGAATTCTAGAGTGAAATCTAAAAAAGATTCTTCTAAGGAAAATGTCGCAAGTAAACAGAAAAAAAGCAAATCTTCAGAAAATCGGTAATTCATTGATTTTTAATTATTTATATTTTGAGTTTACTGTGATCATTGACATAATTATTACATTTTAGAGAAGTAATTGCTGAAGAAATAAATTATGATGAGCCAGAAACAGCCACAGGTTTTACCTTAAAAGACTCTAAAAGTATTAAGGAAGCATTTGATAAACTGATTATGTCCGACAGGGGGTTGCATAATAAAGTTTTGACGTATGAGCCTTTGCCACTGGAAAATTTACATTCAAGTTTGAAGGAAAAAGGGTTCAAATGTGATAAAAATAGTCTTATGGATTTTTTGGATGAACAGGTCAGTATTAATTTTAAAAGCAATGCAACAAAGTTGTACAAAAAAATTAAAAGCATAATTTTTTCAGTGCATAACATTTCAAGTTAAAGCGGGGAAAAAAGACGATAGAAGAAAAAAGAAAAAATAATCTGAATCCACGGTTGTATTACTGTATAAATATTGTTTTCTTATCTTGTCAATCATTCGTTACGCGAATAGTTGATTCACAGATATTGTACATAGCTACTTATCGAAATTAGCTATAAGAATAAAAAAGTTATTTTCTTACATGAGATATTTTCAAGTAAAGAGAACCGTTTTTTATTGTATAAAAAATTTATTACGAATATCTGAAATTGTTGAAAAAAAAGACTATAATAAATATTATGATAAAAAAAGAAATGAGAACATGAGTCAAATATAATTTATCACATGAAAATTTCTTTACAATTCCTTGCACATTTTTGTGGACAAAAAAAAAATATCAGTAAACACTCTGTAATTTCGAGTGAAAATTTTCAAATGTATGTAATATCGTTATTTCATTAGTCTTATGAAACGTTTCGATGTCGCCACGATCGCTTTTATGATCGTTAATAAAAATTAACTACCACTTGGTTTCTTTCTGTCGCTTTTAATTACGCGCTTCGAGGTATCAGTTTATTTTCTTGTGGCTGTAAAAATTCTTCAACGATAGCAGACACCATCTCATTCAGAATACTTCGTAATTCATTCAAATCTCTGTAAATTCATAAGCAGAGCATAAAAATTTAGCAACTTTCGTTACTTTTGTCTATAAACAGAGTAGAATTAAATATTAAAAAAGTCATACGTACTTTTGGTCCGGAGAAGCACACAGCTCATTGTAGTATTTAATTTTAGGCTCTGTGCCACTACTTCTAAGAGTAGTGACCAGTCCGTTTTTAAACACGAACGTTATCATTTGGCTCGATTTGGATACAGGTAATATAGCTTTATTCCCAGGCTTGGTATTGTCGTATCCTGTAGTTAAGTCTCTGACGCTTGTGATAGGATACTTTCCTCCGAGAATGCTGGTTGGATACTTTAACACGTATATTTTATCATTAAAAAAATAAACAACTACGACGCAATAGTGAGCAAATACTTGTTAAAACTATAAAACTCAGCTCGACATTAAACGAAAAGATAAGATATATTATACACTACAAAAGTCGAGGATATGCGTACAAGTTGATGATGAATTTGCGATGGATAATATTAATAAAATGTATGTATTTATTAAAAGAAATGTGAAAAAGTACGAGCTAACAAGCAATATTTATTTTACATTAAAAATCAAACACGACTTTCAACGTCCCACGCAGTAATCTGAATCTTAATGGCTTTTCCAACGTAATTTTCATCCAAAGTTTAAAATAGTATGTTTTGCGTTAAATGTTTCTTCCAACACCTTAGTGAACTTAAAAAAAAAAAAAAAAAAAAAAAAAAGAAAAAAAGGCATCGTACACTCACATGTCCTTGATCTCGTCGAAAATCGGCGCGAGATAGTAAAGGGACTGTACAGCCGGTATGGCAAGCACACCGAGGAGCAGAGACGGCACTAGCGTTAAGGAAGTCAAAAACACATCCTGCATTTTTCCCACCCAAAACGATTTCGTCGCTATTGCCGCTGACGACGCTGGCATTCTCTTCTCCGCGGTACCTCGGGCTATCGCAGCTACTATCCCTCCAACTCATCCACGTTCGAATTACGCACTTCAATCCTCTTTACGCACGCACTGAAAATTTTCGGGAAATCCCAGCAGAGTTTGTCAATTTACTCTCCGAACTTTCGATCTTATACGCCAATGAAATGAAATGAGAAAAACAAAAAACAAAAAAAATCCAAAGAGCGTGTACGCGAGATGCGACGTAAAATCTATCTGCCGGCCCGATGCATTTCGCTTACTGCGCGCGTAGCTCGCGCCAACTCGCGAGACTCGTAGGTGTATTGTAGTGAGCAATTTTTTCCAATGACTCGACGGAAACATCCATATGTAACAACGACTTTAGCACCTCAGCGGGTTACGTACAGCCCCGCGATCCACCGGATGCCGAACCGATTTCAACCGAACTCGCGCTTTATTTTATAATGCCCTCGAAAATAATCGCGTGGACGTCGTATAGGTCGATAGAGAAAAAAAAAAAAAAAAAAAAAAAAAAAAAAAAAAAAATCGGCACACCCGATATATTCCAGTTAAATTACCCTACTTTTATTCTTCGTCTTTTTCCGTCGCGACGATTTGCCGCGCGCACCGGCACACACGATAATCTCGACGCGCGACGACGCGAGATAACGACAAACTTTTACTCTCTTCAATAGTTACACGACTGCCGACGATCTACGCGTTACATGGTGCCTTTTCCCGGCCCGATTGGCCATATTCTTATTGTACACTTTCGCACCCCACGAGAGCACACGACCTCACCGGCCTTGCAGATTACTTGTACATGTGCCGATATTGTTGTACATGCAACCCAACAAACAACATTAACAAACGCAAGGGATGACTAAGCTCGTCGAGGAGCGCGCGTGTGTATACGAAACTGCCGCTCGAAAAATTTGCACAAACGGGTTTTTATTAGCATTTTTTTTTTTCTTCTTTCATTTGATTGTCGTGTGATAAACTCGTCGGGCTTGATTCTATTTTATGTACAAATGTGTATACATCAATCGCGATGAGAGTCGCAGAAACGTTTTGAGCCTCTGGATGTTTTACAAAAAGCAAATAATCGAAAATACCGATGTATCCCAAGCTAGCCGGAACAGGTAACTGAATGGCGAAAACAATGTTTGCGCTGCCATCGCGGTCACGGATTTTTTTCACGGGTCGCAGGCATATTTTTATCATAAATCACGATGTCCGATTGTGCGATATCTGTCCCGCGCTCTGTTACCATTACGACGCAGCAGCGATCAATTTTACAAACAATGAATTTTTTTTTTTTTACGTTCGCGAATCCATAACACAAATATACGACTCTTTCGGTTTTATTTGCATTAATTTTGGATTTTTTAAGTACACCGGTGCTTGTCGCGTAACGAGGAGTTTTTGTGCTTCTTTGCGAATGCAAATCTATAAGGTAAAACGGTGATTACTGTAATTAGCTTCCGAGAAAGATGGACTTTTTTACAGGTCGATTACGCCATATGAACTTATTTTCGATTACGCGACATATTACGTATGCTATGTAATTACTTATGCACCAACGTCAGGTATGCTATTATGGTTGATTCTTTAATAGATCAGTCGTGTGTAATTTCACTGAAAGACAGTCAAGTTCGCGTTTTTTTTTTTTTTTACGTGCATTTATTTTTCAAAATGTGTAAGTGGAATTTTTTTTTCAATTCACATCACATACTACAAAATTTATGTCTTGAAGATAATTAAAAGAAATTTGATTAGTCAAGTTAAGCTTCAACTGATAACGTATCTAGAATTAAAATGTCTATATCTTTGATAAACATCTGTTAGATAGTTTTACTTAGATTAGTTACTATCAGTGGGATTTCAGATCTAGTTTAACAGGATAAGATAAAATTCAAAGACTCTATTCGAGTAATACAACGATGAATAGTAAAAAAATATTGTACAACTTTTTCAAGTTACAAGAAAGGTAAGATATTTAAAGAAACTAATAATTAATGTGGAATTAATTATTTTCCACAACAGTCAAACAATGGCTGCAAATATTTTTTGTCAGTGTAACAAAGAGTTGCTGCACGATTCATGATGTCACCGACGCAGTGAGCAAAACAAAAGCCATTAAGATTCAGTAGGTGCCATTAGTTAATATTCAAACTTACCGAATCGTCTTTTCCATCAAAATTTCTTAAGCGCTTGAAAATCTTTTTCGTTACCTCTGGCTCGTGGCAAATCCAGTATGAATTTTCGCTTATGTGATGGCCGTATCTGTAAAAATAAAATATTGAAATGTAAACGATAAATGCACTTGGAATAATTTTGAATATTTCAACAGTACGAATACTTACTCGCAATATAATTCATTTAGTTTGTCCATCGGCGTAAGGCCCATTGTGTCGAGGTAAGCTGTCATCTCAGCTACGCAAATTCCAGCACTCACGCCATCCTTGTCCAGCACCTTAGAACCACACATAAACCCTATGGCCTCTTCATAAGCAAATAGAACAGTTTTTCCTAATTTTATCAATTCAGACGCTTTGTTTCCCATCCACTTGAAACCAGTTAAAGTTTCCTAAAAGATACAAACATATTTTAAAATAATGTAATAATACACGTAAAATCAGTTGAAAAAAAAATATGTTCACCTCAAATTTGAAACCCTCTTTTTTCGCCATAGACGCCAAGACTTTACTAGAAACTGTTGAAGCTAGCATATAAGCATCTGCTATATTGGCATCAGGACGTCTGACTTTGAATGCATGTAACATCCACCAGCCCAACAGGGCTCCGAGCTCATTTCCTGAATATATGTGCCATTCTCCGCTACAAAATTGCATTGTGAATTTTTTTCCCATAAATGTCTTCAAATGGTTTTTTGTACATTAAGCTTACTTTTTAGTTTTTTCTGCACATGCAAGTCTATCGGCGTCAGGATCATTAGCAATGATGACTGTAGCATTGTTTGCATCGGCTGTTTTGATACTCAATTCCAATGCGCATGGCTCTTCAGGATTGGGGAACTTGACAGTTGAAAACTCAGGGTCAGGATCCTTTTGTTCTTCCACAGCTATAAAGGGCTACAAAAAAAATACGTTCATTAAGTCATACATCCAATTTTTATGAATGAATAATAAATATATAATGTTTACTTTAAAATTGGCAACTTTGAATGCCTCTGTCATGTAGTTATATCCAACACCATGTACAGGTGTGTATACAAATTTGAGTGAAGTACTCCTTGTAACTTCAGGATACAAAACGTTTTCCTTTATATCATTAAAGTACGAAACCATTACTTCAGCCAATGGATCTTTGAATAAGGGGTTGTCATAAACGACAGATGTGTCCCACGATGATTTTAGTGGTTCAAGGTTTTCAAAAATACTTTTTTGAATTTCTTTATCATGAGGCGAAATAATTTGGGAACCATTGCCCCAGTAAACTTTGTATCCGTTATCTTCTTTTGGATTGTGCGATGCAGTAACCATGACACCAGCAGCACATTTATACTTGAGTACACCATACGGAATAAACGGCGTGGGACAGAGCTTGGAGTACATGTATACCTTAATTTTATGGTTGAGAAAAATTGTCGCAGTCAATTCAGCAAATCTAAAGATAAAATACTTTCGTTTCCATGATATTAAAAAAAAAAAAAAAAAAAAAAAAAATGAATAGTTTACCTTTTACTATTGTATCTACCGTCGTATCCTAGAATAATACCTTTTTCAGCAACATCTGGAATGATTTTTAACAAATACTTGGCCAGACCTTGACCAGTTTGTATGATCACCAAGTCATTCATTTGATTGTATCCTGGCCCCATTCTTCCTCTAAGCCCAGCGGTTCCAAACTCAAGTCTCTTGAGGAATAAATTTGATAAAGTCTTGACATCATCATTATCAATCAAAGTCTGAATTTCTTGCTCTGCCTTGGTATCCTAGAATTTGAGTGATATTTGGAGTAAGTTTACAATGCTACAACAGTTTTGCAACGAAGTATTACACAGTAAAAAATTACTTACTTTATTCCAGCTTAACCATTCGTTGATTTTGTCATCCAAAATGGAATTTCCAGTGTTTACAAAATTAGGTGGCATAGCGACGAGATTGAAAAGTATCTGCCTCCAAAGTCACAGCTCAACTGAGATACAAGTCCCAAAATGTGTTTGGCAATTGAAGATACTGAAACACGATAAATACGCAATCTATAATTAATTACGCACATATACCCCGGGGGAGCAAAACAACTATTACAAAACGTAGCGATTGCCAAAATGTGGGTAGAAAAAAAAAACTTGATGATTAACGATATCTCAATAAATTCCACTATTTAACTATCAAATATGAGATTCTGCCAGCTGTCTAAGACACGCAATGTCTTCGTAATCTAAATTTGTACTTACTTATAACACATTTCTCATAGCAAAAAACACGTGACAAACGATGTGGACATGGAAAAATCATGTTTATCTCCGAATAAGTACTCAGCGGTTCGCTTAAAATAATACTTAATTACATATAAGTGGATATACTCACGATAAGCACCACGATGAAAACAGTCGTATGAACGAACGTTGTCTTTATTATTAAAAAACTCAACTTTTGAATGAGTTTAATCGTTAATCGAAGAGTAAGTAATAATATTTTTTTAGTATCTAATAAGGATTATCTTTCTCGCAATCAAATGAAATCACACGTATATAATAACGAACAGTTGATTGTGCGACATGAGTAACAAATGCAACGACCCTGATATCTGAAACAAACAAACAGTGTGTTTTCATCTCGCGTAGAGAGTATTTTTCTTTATGCGTGTATGTATACTCATCGGTCGCTGTGTAATGGCAAAATCGATCGGTTATCAATACGTGCGTGTATATGTATAGCTGTCAAAAAATTACTAAAGATTTATTAGTTCTATGTTATCAACTGTGCCATGCCCGCCTCTTATGCACCGATAACACACCAACAAAGGAAAACCTGCACTACCGACCGACGACTCTTGAGTTTGAATTTGAATGTGACATATATTTTTTTCTCTCCCCTCGCCGCCCTCGCCCCATTCGATGTAACAAGACGAAGACGTCAACATTCATCAGCTTCACTGAAATATTTCAGCTATTTGCCATACCTATTAAGTATGTATATAAGTAGGTAATAAAAAAAGGGCGAGCAGATGAGAAAAAAAAAAAAAATTCTCATCGAGGCGTCACCGACGACATTACAGAGTCATCTCGGCATGTATAGGTATACTTGACGAGAGCAAAAGCCAAAAGAAGGGGATGAGCTTAATATTTCAGACGCATTGCTCTCCCCCCGGCTCTGTGCCCTCACCGAACTTCCATGAATGCGAAATTCGCCCTGAAAAATTTACGCAGTGGACTGCTGATGCGGATACATCTTATAACTTGGGATGAGGAGGAGAAAAGGCATTTTCATATACGGTATAAAAGGGAGAAAGAGGGAAAAATCGATTAGGCAGTATATACACACCCACACTCGTAACCTATTTTGCCACGGCTGCGTGAGAGCTTTTCCGTGTAAGTTGAAGAAGTTTGAGTGCACGGAAGGACCCGAGAGAAACCCCCGACATATATATATATATATATCCCCCTGCAGCCGAAAGCAATCGGATAATCTCCCGGCCCGCAGGAGCACGTATGTACACACGTACGTGTACCTGTATATATATATACCTATATGCAGCAGAGCGGAGTGCAGGCGTAGGGGATTAATATTTATTATCGCGGGCTCGAATCAGCTGCCGTCGGCGCGCGAGACAAAGCTCATTTGCACACCCTTTCTCCCTCTCCTCTCGACTCCCCGACCCGGAAAAAATAACGGCTGCGCAGAGTATCATAAGATATATATACCACCTATTCGAAGAGTAGAGCCTTGAATAATTTCCGATCAATGGGAAATAGATCCTTGGAGAAGAAGTTGGTGTGGAACGGGGCAGCTGTGAGAGATGTATGTATGTATATATTGTACATGATGGAATGGACGAAAAATTCAAGAAGAGAAGGGAAAACGAGAAAATCGCACAACCGCCGCTCTCCCGGGGTATACGCGTGTATACGTATGCGCGTACACATATATCTACATATGTACACCTATTCCTACCCTCGTTTTTTTTCTCTCTCTCCCCCTACGGGGAAGAGTGGTGCTTGCGCACACGTTGTATGCTGTACAACCCCCCGTGCAAGCTCTCCCATATACGTATACAACAGGGGAACCAACTGATGCGAGGAGTATGATACATATATATGCCGCGAGAATGGGGAGAAAGTGGGTGTATGAGCGTGCGTATGTATAAGTGCGCGACAACGAGGTGGTGCAGGGTATGGAGGAGGAGGAGGCAATGGACTTAGCCGCCGCTGCTGTCGCGTTTTTCTCTGTGCCGTATCGACAGTAGTACAGTCCCGCGTGGCTCCCGACGACCGTCGTCGGCGAGAAGGAGGATGATGACTCGGCTCGGACGCGAGTCGACTCTCGTGCCAGCGCTGATGTTACCGCAGCTAACCTTTTGCCGGACCTGTTTTTTATCATCATCCAACTGTACGAACCGCCTCACCCGTTACACCGTAAAAGACAGGCACTGCTGCTGAACGACTCTCCGCGACCGTGAGTACACTGCACTGTAAATATTATAATCATGTTTATTCGAGAGAGTGTTTTTTTTTTTTTTTTTTTCCCCCCCTCTTTCTCCGAAGGGAGAAGAAAAGAGCGCTACATATGCAAGCTCTCACCTCATTGATTATATACGAGCCTCAACAGCTTCCGTCGCGGAGGGGAGGAAAAGTGCATTGTGGTTTTTTTTTTTTTCTTCGCGCACGCAATAGTACTATTATAAGTGCAGGATAAAAAATTGTTGTTACTGCACGGTGGAGCGCTAAAATGCGTTGCACCGGCCTCGGGAGCGATTACGAAAATTAGCGATAAGCTTCGCGGCAGCGTGAATTATGCAAACAGTGGCCGATAATCCACGATACATGTACCTATAGTCGTACAGTTTGGAAGAAGGAAAAAAGCGCCCGATTTTTCCTTTTTTTTTTTTTTGCCTATCAAGGGGGCAAAGTTGTATTATATACCTGCGCCTCGAACTCTCTTTCTCTCCCCCGTGGAGCGTGCGACACTGATATTGTTGATTTTTTTTTTTTTTTTTTCCAATACGTTATAGCTTTGCCCGCAACATGTGTTATCTCTCTCTCTCTCTCTGCGTGCTTTTTCCACGTCACAGGCATTACCTACGGGCTCCCGCTTCGAGATAAGGCACTTTTTGCCCACCGAAACGTAACAATTTTTTAATTTCAATCCGCCGAACCTCCACTGATTTCGCTGTCGATGAACACCCGCACCGATAATATTTGTTCCTTATCCCGCCGAATACCCAAACAACTCACCGAACGGTGGAGGATATTTTTTTTTTTTTTTTTTGTAGCCGGCTACTGCAACTTTTACGTCCAAGCAGTATAGCTTTTGCATATAATATTTTTTCTCTCGCGCGTGTGCGCTCGTTTCACGCAGGAGGTTTCGTCGTGATGGACGTTGGCCTGGTGAAAATAGCCGAAGACAAAGATTTCGAGAAGCTGAAGAAGTTGTACGACGACAACAACGACTGGAGGCTGGATTACAACAAGCCCGACCTCTCGGTGTGGACCAAGACGGTGCCGGGGATCAGTTTTCGCATGGTCAAGGTAAAATAACGACTTTTTCTTTCCCCCCCCCCAACACTTTGCCAATATATATATAAATCATTGTTATACTCTCACAACTATATGTGCACAACTTGTGTGTCTGTTTTTTTTTGTTTCGTTCACGCTATATATATATTATTATTATTATTATTACGCCCGAGTGGTTTGAAATACATTTTTCGTCGTCGTCAATTGTAGATTAGAACACGATTTTCCGATGTCTTGCCTGAAACATTGTACGATGTGTTGCATGATCCCGAGTATCGAAAAGTTTGGGACACCCACGTCATCGACTCGAAGGACATTGGCTTTTTCAATCCCAACAATGACATTGGCTACTACTCGAGTAAGCACTCCCTGATGCGTATACAACCAATGACTGTACGACTATTTATTTTATTTTATTTTTATCTTTCAATTTTCATACTCGTCGTGTATCTTCATTGTTGTTTGTACGTGGTAGTCGAGGTATTCGCACTTTGACCGCACGCGCGTGTGTACACCATGTGAAATTTTACTTTGCAGTGGCCTGCCCGTCTCCTTTGAAAAACCGAGATTTCGTGCTGCAGAGATCTTGGCTGGACACAGGACTGGAGCAATTGATCATCAATCACTCCGTCTTTCACAAGGATTATCCGCCGAAAAAAAGCTTCGTCAGGGCGACCTCGTATCTCACAGGTGAATTGCATTTTTTTTTTTTTTTTTTTTTTTTTTTCCGTAATCCAAGAGTAAATGGTATTAAACATTGCACGTGATGAATGTGCGTGTACAGGGTACGTCGTGAGGCCGTCGAGAAACGGGGAAGGCTCGGAACTCGGTTACGTGTCGCATACGGATCCCCATGGCAAGCTGCCCGTCTGGCTGGTGAACAAAGTCACCCAAATATTCGCACCAAAGGTAAAATTACCCCGAGTTCCTCTTCTTTTCCATCACTTCTGATACATCATTCGATTGCAGATGGTGAAAAAATTACACAAAGCATCGGTGAACTATCCCAGCTGGAAATCGCTCAACAATCCAAATTTCAAGCCATGGCACTTTCCGGAGCAGATCATGTCGCCGCGAATAAGAATAGAGGATGTAAGTATCAAATAATTTCAGCTGCTTGCGCGGAAACCTATGTATAGGCTCATGAGTTTTACGTTGGATTTGTTTTTTTGGCACCACCCGAGGCAATGTTTCAATTGCTTTTTTACTCATTGCATTTTTATGATAAATATTTTGCACTCACATCACTGTAACGTATCATATATATATATAGCCTAGTGTTGTTTTGCTATGTTGACACACATCATTGTAATAAGATTGTCGATGAGAAATGTAATATTTTTTTAACATCCGTTGCAATCTTGAAAAAAGACTTTTCATGAAATATGCTCGTTTCACAAAAAATACCTATTATAATATTTTCTTAAATAATTTTTTTTTATAGGTGCACGTAGACTAGTGTAGTTATTAGAGCTAGCAACAACAAGAACAAAAAAAAATGCAATTACAATTGTTTTCAAAAAATTATATTTTATTATCTAGTGCGTGAAATCAGCTGAGGAAATGAAACATAAAAACAATTATGTTGACGAGTCGAATGTTAAGGAGGCGCGAAGTAAAGATATTGAAATTATGGACAGTGATTAACCTTCCATTGCGACAAGATGACTGTCGAGAGAAAAGTAGGTAGACAAATTCATTCTTTTTAAATTCAGCTTGAGACAAGTTCAATGTTGTAGTTTATGCGTATAAGTGTTGTGAGTGGGCGCAAATCAAAACGAAAAAAAAAGCATGACGATTGTTCGGTGATTTTATACGATTGAAGTTCGATTGAAAAAAAAAAAAAAAAAAAAAAACGATTAATAAAAAAAGCGATTATCGAGTCCTGATCGATCAAGATGGACGAAAAATGTTAAAGTTATTAATAATCTGCTGTTACCGATGGTCACAATCATTACGATGTGAATATTAACACAGGCCGCGAGTGTGCCAGAATGTTACAAGGCTCGGATTTTTACGCGCCAATTGTATAGTCTTTTGAAATAAAATTTAACAATATGACGTTTTTTAGTCATCGTAACAGTAAAGAAAAAAATTAAATTTAATAAAAAATCAAGCAAAACACGAATATAACGCGCAATATGCAGGGTATATCAAATTGTACGTAAGTTTTTGCGTTAAAAATCACTGGCAAACACAATAAAGTTAAGAAAACTAAAAACTCGGGTTACAAGAATATATATCCCATTACTGTGTACACTTTATATTGTGCGTTTTAACTTTAATCTTGTTGCTCATTGTACCGACAAAAGTAATGTTGAAGAATAATATGATAAAAGGAAAATGAATTTTTATAGAAAAAAAAAAAAAAAAAATATTTTTGAGAACGAACTCTCTTTCTCTCCCCCGTGGAGCGTGCGACACTGATATTGTTGATTTTTTTTTTTTTTTTTCCAATACGTTATAGCTTTGCCCGCAACATGTGTTATCTCTCTCTCTCTCTCTGCGTGCTTTTTCCACGTCACAGGCATTACCNCTAGTCTCGTCGTCTAGTTAATTAAATATTTGAAAATAAAATTGAAATATTACATTGTTAAAAAAAAATTTAGTTGAACGATAAAAAAAAAAGAATAAATAACAAAATATTTTAAAATGATAATAACGTTGAGAGACTCGTCTCACAGAAGATCTTGTAGACTTTTGCGAGAAAAGCGAAAGTTCGTTTTAAGGTCATCGCATTTTTGTAGAAAACACTTTTCTCTTTGACATTAAATAAAAAAAGACATTATTAAAAAAGTTAATCTATAAAATGTATATTCTAATTATGCGAATATTGAGTATCGTAAGATATTTTTAAACAATTTTAAATTTAAGTCTACTTTTTCTACTTTACATGAACAAACGAAAATTTCTCTCCATTTTTCATATCTCCGTTATTCTGTGATTTTTACCGAACTTATTCTTATCATTGTAATTTACATATTATTACAAATAACTCCTTTTATCCATAAGACTGCCATTGGCTATAATATACTTGTAATTTTTTAATTATTCCAACAATCGCTTGAGCTCTGCTTGCAAAATGCAATAATACATGGATAATTTTTCTTGCGCGTATAATTCATTTTTTGTGCATCAATACAACGTCAATTTTCCAGACAAATAACTAGCCTAGACGTAATATTTTTTATTTTCAGTTGCAAAAAAAAAACAAAAACAAAAAAAAAAACAAACAAAAAAGAAAACGAAAGTAAGAGACAAACACTGCACTTTATTCTATATCATTATATTATTATACATAAAACACTTATTATATTAAAACGTGGATTTTTTATGAATTTTCAACAAACTTAATGATATATAAACGCATGGCGAAACAAAGACTTTGTTGTACGAGTTCAAGTCGTGATCGATTTTTGATTGTTACATATGATACATACGTTTACATCTTTAAAAATGACATAAAATAACACACACACACACACACACAAAAACGTACATTTATATGTGTAATATTATGAAATCACTGTAAACTTGTAATGAAAATAGTACAAAATAGAAATAAGTTGATCAAAACGAATTTTCTTCCGCACGCATATCTCGATGAATCCGAGAGACGGTGAGCGCGAAATATACAAGTATCCATACTCAAATGAAAATTTTCGAGAGAACAACGTGATCACGGCTCGGACTCTCTTAATCTTGCATATCAGTACTAATTGAAACCGTAACGAAACACACATGTACTTATACAAGCGCATTCACGTAAGATTTTAATAACAGTTTTGTCAACAACTGCACTCTGCTGTCATTTATCAAACTAAAGTATAACTATATCGTTACCGCCATATCACCACTATTATTTTCAAGCGTAATCTCCATTCTGATTTACAGTCTTATATATTGGCAAAAGAAACCTCGTGGTCAACAATGACCAAAACAACGTGGTTCATTTTCATGTGGTAATATCAAAATGGTTTTTTTTCTTTTTTTTTCATTAGAGCTGATGAAAAAAATCTAAAATTTTGCAATATTTGTGCAGTATTTCTAAGACTTGAAGAAACTGGGATACTTTTTCCGTCTTTGTGCGACTCTCAAAGTATTTAGCAGCCTTTTTCAGTGACTTGGAGAGTCCACGCCATTTTTTAACGAACCGACTGATGAAATCGACAAACGTCACAATCGTATACGTGAATGCAAACACCCGCGAGAGGTCGACGCGCCGCCGTTCTCGCTCTGTCTTCTAATATGACACCGACGAATCCATTTATCTCCTCGGTGCCCTGCTCTCCCGTTTCCCTTCCCGCTTGTCGCGGGTCCGCTGCTCTGCTTCCACACCACCTCTATTTTTATTTTTTTTTGTTTTTTTTTTTTTTTTTTGCGCACCCGAAGGGCTTAACAGCTGCGTGTAATGTTCCGGTGTACAAAATGCACACACGTTGAGTTAAAAAAAAAGAAAAAAAAAAAAAAAAGTAATGCCGTACTTATACGTAACTGTAAGTACACGATTGTATTATTAAAAGTTGTTCGAGTCATAAGTATTATTACACTGTGTTATCGCGGATTTTTTGGGCGCTTGACGAAAAAAAAAAAAAAAAAAGAAAGAGCTTTTTTACATATAGTTTGCCTTGCTGCGAAATCAGATGTGTCTGAAAATGTTCTCAATTGTTTTTTTTCTTCAACATTTATTGTTTCCACGTGCGCATTTATGTTCGATTATATGCTATAAGTTATGTATTATTATCGCGAGGGAGGCAATTTTCGGAAATACCTGAATGGTAAAGAAAAAGTCACCCTGATGGTGATGGCTATAGTTATCGAGCGTACGGATGGATTTTGCACTGATATTACAAAAAACAATACCCCCAAGTGTCGAGGAGCGTCTTTGATAAAGACTCCAAGTGATTCGGCGAGAGGCGGGGAAAGACACATTTTTTCATATCAGCAATATGTATAGTGTAACACACAATTACACGACACATTAAGTAAATCTCACGGTTATAGTATCGAATAATAGTACTTGATGAGGTATGCATTAAAAAAAAAAAAAAAAAAAAAAAGTAATCTCTCTGCAGTTAGACTCTTTCCGTTCGTGTCGATGTTACGAGAAAGGAAGATAACGAAAAAAAAAAAAAAAAAAAAGAAAAATAGGGAAAATCATTCACGATTTAACCGTGTAGCGACTGTACAGCGATACCGTTTTTTCTTATTGTATATGAGACAGCTGCGTTGCTAAACGTCTATAGTTTTTCTCTGCGATTACGCCAATGTTACGGATAAAAAAATTTTGGAAATATTTTTGTGCTTTGAATATAACTATTGTATATCACCATCTCAAGATTTCGAGCATTGTATCAAACAAACAGTTGAGCATTTTACGATTACAATAAAACATCATGAATAATATCGCATCTCCAACGTGTGTTTCCCTTATTATATACCTGCCATCCCGATGTAATTTTTTTTTTTTTTTTTCCTCACTTTTTCGAAGAGAATTCGTATTGGAAATATCTTTCGGAAGGTGCAAATTGGGTTAAAATTGAAAACGCAGTGGCAAATTGTAACGTCAATATCACTCGCCGGCGAGCGTGGGATGAATTTTCGCTCGCAATAGTCTCACTTTCCGTGGCCGCTCGAAAAGTCAAAAGTGTCCGGAGGCTAAAAAATATCGGTGCCTGTTTTATAAATTTTTTTTTGTTTTTTTGTTTTTGTTTTCAATAAGACACATTTTAAAACTCTAATCGACTCTTTCAGTATAACTGCTCGGTGCATTTCAAGTGTAAGCTCGCAGTTTTTCGTGAAAAATCGTCCATCCAAAGAATCCATAAATTATTTAAGAAATAAGCACCAACAACCTTGCCCCACATGCTCTAACTTTTTTCAAAAAATCAATAACAGTGTCATCGCGCACCGGGTAAGTAAACCTCGGTCCTTTTTTTTTTCCACCCCAAGTTGGCAGTTTTTTTCTTCAACACACCAGCGATCAAGCCTCACGTGCACCGAACTGGGAATCCGATTGCCGCGGTGTCGCGTGTATACGCCGTGATCTGACGCACGAGACCACTGGGAAAACGCCGATTGGATGCCTATAACGGGGTTGCTCCTTCGTTTCCAGAAAGTAGTTCACGCGGTGGTTGGTATACACGGTCCCTTTCGAGTACTTCCCGGATCGAGCCGCAGTTACGCATAGCGTACATCTGGATGTAGAGCTCGAGGGTTCGATTGATCGATTGATTGGAGATTTTTCGGGATCGAGCGTTTGCTGATACGATTTTTCCAGAGGAGTGCGATCCAGTTGGAAAATGGATCGGTCGGCCTCGTGTGCGAGTGAAAATTTGAAGTTGAAAAATGTCAAAAGTTTCGAGGCGAGAGGAGAGCATCGGAGCTTCATGAGCAAAGAAGAAGGGGAACATACGGTGGCCAAGGATTTTGCGAAATTCGAGGGTAACGAGGTAAATTTCAGTGAGACGTCCAGGTTTCCCACAATGGAAAGCCAGCACCAGGTTGGTTTTCAGACTTGGGTATTTTTTTTTTAACGACAATTAAATGCGTTTTTTTTTTTACTTCTTACAAAGCGCTTAATTCCATTGGAAAAACCGACACATTACAATTTAAAAGAAAAAACAATTTGGAAACAAAAGAGTCAAAGCATATGAATACTTGATTTCAATTATTTCACGATAAACTTACCAAATAAACAGAAAAACAAAAAAAAAATCTCTCGCTGTTGAGAAAATATTTTCATAAAAAAGAAATTACTTTATTGAAGAATGTATTTCAAGTGTTAAAAAATCCACTGCGCCCAAGTCTGTCGTTTTTTTTATTTAATGCTCAGCTGGAACATTAATTTATTCTCGATTTTCAATCGATTTTCGTAAAAAAAAATCGTGATTCCTTTTAAGGAAATAGACTCCATTGAATCGCAGCCGCAAAAAAACGCAACAGCTCTACGTTAGATAACTCCAGCGCTTTGTTTTTTTCAATAGGCCGATACAGAAAATCGGATACGACCCGCCGTTGCAAGCGGATCGACGGATGACAGTGGCGGAGACAAGGGGGCTAGTGGAGGAACGAAAAAGAAGAAATCGTCGACGAAACAACGAACTATCCACGTGCTGGACTGCCTCGTGTCCGCGACGGTGATCGGGCCGATGGTCATCGCCCACTGGAGAGGAATTTGGGTCCTCATGGATTTCTACGAGAACACGTACGCGAAAACATTGTCTCGTCCCGGTACATCCAAACGATACTTGGATTCCCGAGTGCGCCCGATCTCAGTAGGAAAATTTCAAAGCTCGACGATTCGTCTTGCGCAACTAAGACGCGTCCCTCTTAATTTTCCATATGTATACACTCGAGCTGCAACTTTTGGCCGATTTTTCTCTCTGTTTTCCAATAAAACGCGTTCCGATCTTCGTTGACGAATCCGCGAAAGAGTACCCGACGATGACGCAACAACGATCGGTATATACTTGCTTACGCCGACGGAGGCAGTTTTTCGCATAGTAATGAACACGCTCGAGAAAAACTACCGACCGGAGACCTCGCGCAACCACTCAAGAATACATTAACTCACTTGTTTGTACCGATAATTTTTCAGGAATGTTCCAACTTGGGGATAGAATATTCATATTGTAAAAATATCGATCACTCGGTGTATCTGTGGTGTAATTTTCTTTAGATTCAGCGGCTGGGCGTGCTTCACCTTCGGGCTGGGCCTGCACTTGCTCTTCGCCGCGTGGAAGCACCACTTGCACCGATTATTCGCCTCCGACGCCGAAACGAAGGGCCCTTGCGGCCGATTGGGCCGCCGCGTCGTCCGCAGCTTGTACACTTACGCGTTCAGTCTCGCCTGCAATTGCCACTGGCGCGGCGCCTGGGTCCTGCTCAACGACACTTTTGGCACCCAAGCCGGGTAAGTTAATTTTGTCGGGCTTATACACCCCACCCCCCCCAGTGTATATTTATCGTGGAGAGCGATTCAACTATGCGTACACGATGACGGTGCACAGATTACCGATACTTTGGATAAGCCGATCGAGATATCCTCGTTTTTGTAGTGTATATGCAAACAGCGCTGGTGACAAATATTGGCGCACTTTTCTCTCGCGTCACGTCGGATGTGTAACACTTTTACTCGTACGACGCGTTTGCTTCTCATTTGTTTTTACGTGTAGCCGAGAGGGTTCGACGACCGATTAATCTTTTTTTTTTTTTTTTTTTTTTTTTTCCATTCAACACCGGACTGTGTTGCTCGACGATTCATAGCCAAGTACGAGAGAGACGGTGATTTCTTGTATAATCGGGATTCCAATTGGTTGGCGCGTCGTCAAATTTTCATTGTAAAAAAGAAAATTTTTTTTAATCCTCGCAATTTCAGAGTCATCGCTTGTTTCACACTGGCGACCCTGGGTGACCTGCTCGTTCTGCGGTGCGCTAGGAATTTACTGGCGCCGCCTTTCATGGTGACCCTGGACAGCCCGAAATTCGTCTTTCACTTCCCCACTAGGTACAAAATTGTGAGTATACCCGCGTAAGAATATTATTCTCCAATCTTCTTCTTCCTCTCAAATTAATTGCGTAATCTGTTGTGCGCGAAATTATCGATAATTGGGTTTTTTTTGTCGCGGAAAGGGATATGTCGAATGAATGGATTGACGCGAAAGAAGAATGAGCAGGAAAATTGAAAAAAAAGAAAAAAAAGTGAAAAGAAGTGGCGACAAGAGGAAAAAAAACAATTGAAATTCCCAACTGCGGGTACAATGGGGCAGAGCGTAAAACTTGAGCCAATTATTAAGTATTTGCGATGTTACGTCTCTTCGGAACTTGTATGTACGCATATATACACTTATGTGTCGAAATCGCAAAAAACGGCAGTGTTTATCGTGTTTTTATGACATTGTAAAATGCACAGCTTTTTTTGCGTGTGTCCCAGTTTTCTTTTTTTTTTTTTTTCTTGGATTATTTGGTTGAAAAACTAAAATATTGACGAAGGCACAAATAAATTTGAGGAACAAAAAATAAGCTCTATTTGGAGAACCTGCAGTGTCGGAAGCAAATCTGTTTTTCTGAGAGCGATCGAGAAAACCAACAACAGCAACAGATCAGCGTGCGTTTCGTCCACCTAAGACGGCAATGAATTAATTCAAACTATCGGGACAAAAACTGCTTGAGGTCTGGATGGAGAACGAAATAAAAGTCGAGCTTGTTCTCGTTTCCCAAGAATAATTGCCATCCGACACCTGCAAAAAAACAAAAAAAAAAAAAAAAAGCATCGTGGTGTGCACACATTATAAATTTTCATAAAATAAAAATAATATATACACATTCGTCACAATTGAGCAAAGATTAAAATTCGGTTAAAACCTGCCTGCTAAATATGTTTTTCCACACACGCAGTTTATCAATGAGATAAGAAAGTGTTAACTAACGACACACTTTTGTAATTAACGCAAGCGCGGTGGCCGAAGCAAATACACCTGCACCTATACCTCGAGTGATCGACAAGAAAAAAAAAAAAAAAAAACCCCTAAAAATAAACGACAATGGCCAGAGAAAAATAAAGTACAAAATTCACTCGTTGACTCGCGTTTATAATAAATTTCTGGGCTCGACGTACAATGGGGGGAAAAAAAAAAAAAAAAAAAAAAAAAAAAAAAAAAAAAGAGGTGTCGTCTGTACACGAGTCCTCGGCCAAGGTGAGAAGATTGGCCTGAAACCGAAGCTCAATTGGGCGACAAAGAGGTGTCGATTAGAATACCGTCTCGGGCCGCGCACAAAAGCCCGACGAAATCCACCCGCGAGCAGGAAACGCCACTCATCGGCCGGAAAAATCACGTCTCAAGGTGACGGCTCTTCGGATCACTGTGTCTTTAATCGCGTCCAAAGGGTTTTCCTACCGAATCATCGGGGCCACAGGCCAACAAACATCCAACAAACATAAAGATTATTAAATAAGTATACGTAAATATGTGTGCAAGCCTTGACGATTTTACCGGTCCAGAGACGACTAGGCTGCGTAACCACGTATACACTTTGCGCGTGCGTGTTTTTTTTTTTTTTTTTTTTTTTTTTGCAAATTATTGCTTTCAATATCGAGAAGCACTTTCATGTCTTCACGAAATGCAAACACATAATTCACTTGTACAAACAAAAATTATTCGGTGGGAATATAATATAAAGTTTGCTTGCTTCCACCGAAACGCTCGCCGATAAAATACATAAGGTGTAATTTCTTTAGTTTGGCCGATAAAACGAATACATGTGCACCGATTCGAATGAAGATACACGAACAAGCATAATAAACATAACGCACTGTACACGCGTGCAGCAATAAGTGCGTCGCCGAGTGATGTTTGGGCGATTATCATCACTACCAAGGTCGTTGATACGCGCTAGACAATGTGCCGAGAGTACAGTACATACACGCACACAAGCGTCTATTGTACGTAAAGCATAGCACATGGATATATAGTTCCTTTGTGCGCTCCTCTCTCGCCCCGTACACGCGTGTATAATGTAGGGAGTACCCCATCAGCGTGGACATTGATAATCGCTCTGGACCTCATCCTTTGTTCCCCTGCTGATGCTCATTACGCACATCAGCCGCGTGTGTACGCGCGATGGAAAAAAATAAAAAAAAAGATCCACCGCAAACCCGAGCCGTTGAGGCAAAAAGCGTTCAACGAGGCTTACGTGAGCTCCGGCTCGAGGTCGTTATTTCAATATCATGGAAAATTCGCACATGTGTGTGCCCGTTTCGGTGTTAAGCCCATAAATCGGCACCAAAACCAAACAGAGGCGCCCTCCTCGACCATATCACGCGGCAACCGCCACTTCAATTTTCTTCCATCAGCGAGTCTCCCCGCTTTTCCACGCTCAATAGGAAAAATCTCACCCCCCCCCCACTACTCAAAGTACAGCTTCCACGCTCATTTGTTCAAGTTTGAGAAAATCGGCAGGTCTTTATGTACACACGGCTATATGGAGATAGGAATCTTAATCTCGTGGCCAACACGCACACGCGCGTCAGACGAATTCACGAATGTACGGCGCTCGTCACCAGCTGGAGGAGGAGGGGCTTTAACGAACAACGTACAGGTCCAAGTGTAAGCGCAGGGTCCCTCCTTCTGTCCTATACGTCCCGCGGAGGGAGCGAGAGCATAAGGCACACACGATGGTAGAGGGGGGGGGGGGCGCATGTAACTCGCCGCGTGTCCACATGGGTCCGCGCGACAATAATAACGAGGTGGTGGAGGAGGAGTATACAGTGCGGCGCTCAACGGTTGATAAAAAGATACCCGCTGCCGAGGCCCGCTCGCAGTCAACTCCAGTCCTCAGTCCCGGACAAACGCGCGCGTACGATATAGTTTATTAAGCGCACAGCCGAGCCGGGAGTCTCCTCTCTCTCTCTACTTCGATAGCATCCGATAACAGTCGGGCCGAGAGATCGGTAGTAGCGCGCTCGGTCCCACCTAGACGGCACATTGTCCCGTCGCCATGCAGTCTGCCATCTGTGCCCCGAGGGCTACGACAAGCCCCCACGGCCCTACCTGCGACCCCCTGGCCATCACGAGTGCCCTTCACCCGTACAGCCTTGGATGATATATACAGTGCCTTTTTTCCAAGAGCCACCAGCCGCGTCTCCACGAAGGAAGGACTCGGTTCGACGCATTGTTTGGGGGCAGTCCCTGTACATATATAATAGGACGTAAGATGCCCGAGGATGGGCGGGTGCAGGAGCGCGAGTGACAACGACGACGACGAGGACGGGGGCAGGTTGGAGTACGACCAGCTCGGGAAATCATCGTCGTCGTCGACGGGATCGGGCAAGGCTTGCGAGCAGCGGGCCCTCGCGGATTGGCGCAGCATGGTGGAGTTGCACGCGGGGCCGCGCCGTGCTTCCTGCCACTCGGGCCGGCGTTCCATAACGCGGGGTGTCGAGTACGCCCCGCGGCCCCGTCGGCTGTACTATACGCTCCTCACGATCCTCGATGCCGTGTTCTCGGGTGCGCTGGCCGGGCCGGCAGTTGTCGGTTACTGGAGGGGCACGTGGGGCCTCAGCGGGTTCTACGTGTACCCGGGCGAGCCGGAGTTGAGCAGCCTCGCCTCGATCCTCATTGGGTTTTGCGGCCTGTTCGCCTTCAGTCTCGCGCAAACCGTCCTCGCCACCCTCCTCCACCCGGACCGGCACAGGCTGTGCTTTTACGTGGGCTCGCGGCTCTACACTGCCCTTTACGGCTTGTGCTGTGTGAACGCGTGGCGCGGCACCTGGCAGGCCCTCGACCTATACACCGAGCACACCTTCGCCACCGTGTTCACGACCACGTGCGTCAGTCTGCTCGCCCTAGCCGTCATGCGCACCCTCAGGAACATATCCGCGCCGCCGTTCGCTATCAGCCTCGACACCTTTAACGGCTACTTTGACGTACCCACGCTCTTTCGGGTCGACGTAAGTCCAACCGTGCGTTTTTCCTTTTTTTTGTTTTGTTTCTCTATCTAACAGGGAGGAGGGGCCCGATTATCCTACAAAAGCCGGGGTATTTTTTGTCGATAACAGCAACAAACGTCAGGGAGTGAAAAACAATATAAGCGGGAGGCCAAAGTGTACTTGACACACTTGCGTCGTGCGCGTTAGGATAGGCGCGCGCAGAAACATTTCAATTCGGCCGGTGCAGTGTGTATTTATACATCATGAGCACCGATTTCCGGCTCCCCCTGCAGCGTCTTTTTCCCCGCTTAATAACTCGAGAAGAAAGAAACTTTGATGGAAACAACAAGTTTGTTACCTTTTCCTGCATCCGCGTGTATTTCATATAGGCGGAAAAAACAAGCGCGCACCTGTTCATCGGGGATGCAGCTGCGTGTCTGTATATTGTACCGATGTGGTTGCTTTTTTTTTTTTTTTTTTTTTCAACTCGAGATAAGAACCCATACACATCCATAAGGTAAAGCCCGAATCTATATATGACATGTTTTTGTTCGATGTGTTTTTTTTTTTTTTTTTTTTTTTTTTCCACCCGCTGTACAATATGTACCTGGTGGGTATATGACGCGCAGCACGTGGAGCGTCTCGGAGATTCTTTGTGCTGTTTCGTCTGTACACATGGTATAGTGGTATATGGAAACGAAACGGCGCGACGAGAGCTTTTGCCAAAGGCTCGTTTGACGTACGCCTATGATTGGCGATTGTTTTCCGAACTTTACATCGAGACGGACTATGCAGGTGTGCGGGGGCGTGAAAAAAAAACAACCTTTGTACTCGACGTGGGTAAACTCGTATTTTAATTTTTCGAGTGGCATTCGTGATCTGTGCGATCGATTACGGGGCGCGTGAGAGCTTTGTCATTCGAAAGATGGCGGTGATTTTTTTTTTCGATGTACAAAAAAAAAAAATAATAATAATAAATAAATAAATAAAAAGGGGTACCTATAATCATCGTCACCGGAAAGAGGGGAAATGAGATGATGGGAACTTTTGCTTTCAGAATTCAAAGGATTGGTCGCTGTACATACTCGACTGCGCCTTCAGCGTCGGGGTCGTTGGTACCCTGGTCGTCTTCGTCTGGCGCGGCGCCTGGGTGCTCTTCGACCTCTACTTGTTTCCCGAAAATCGCGAGCACTCGGCCGTTGGTTCGCTCGTAAGTTGGAAGCTTTTCTTCTTCTTTTTTTTTTCAACTTTTCTCACAATCATTCATTTCAATCAAAACAAGGGCAGGGTTCGAAGGTATTTATTTATTTACCCAGTATTTTGGGTTTAACGTACTTTCTTAGTGTACTCATATACTTGCTGGTATCGGTTAAATACAAACTTTTTTTGTACTACGTGTAACAACATCTCTTATTCTTGAATTTATATTGCGGATGATGTATCATTTGTAGTGTGCGATAAAGGTGTAAGAAACGAAGTAGTGAAAAATCGCGATTCTTACTTTTTTACGCTACTTTTTTAACAAGAACATCGTGCAATAACTTTTTGCTTTCGTATGGTAAATAAGATGAGTTGCCTTGTCTCGTTTTCGTTGCACTTGGCATAAAAGATCGAGAATAAGAGAAGCTTTTCTAGATAAAATCACCTTAAAACGTGTACTCGTTCGAGCCAATGATTTACAAGAATCGCAAAATCGGGCACTTACGCCTATTTATTCCCAAATAAACAAGCGCGACGCGAAATAAGTATATGTAGGGGATCGACATTTCGCGGTGGTCGCGAAGCAAAGCCGTCTGGCTCCGGTGTACTTTGAAATAATATCGTCAAACGAAGACACACCGGCATTTACGTATAATTACAAGCGATGATAGATCCAGCTGTTTAATTTATCGCTCGCCGTTTGTCTCCTTTGATAAGACGAACGTTATTTATACGCGCAACGCCAACGAGATTCGCATACATAATCATCAAAGTTTATCAATTCGATGAAATCGCGTGTTATCTCGATGATGGCGCCTTTGCACTCCTGATGGTTGCGAATTTATTTTTAATCATCGATCGATTGTCTTGGATTAAAGTTAATCGTCCGAGGTTTTGTGTGCATATTAATATACACGTGGGGTGGGTGGGGGGGAGATCCCTACAGTCTGTCAAAAATAACATACCAGCGAGTGTGATATACTTATTGTTGCCGAGTAAAACACGTTGTCGTGCCATTTTTGGAAATGTCCTCAATTCGGTTTTTCCAACAGTCTAGTAAAAAAAGCTAGCCGATCTTTCGAATGTACAAGAAAAAAAGTAAAGATAAGAGTAGACGATGGCGTGTAAAGGGAAAAAAAAAATGTGTACAACACGAGAATCGAGGCGCAGACGAGGATGTAACAATATTATAATGTTGTTCGCACGTGGCTCGAATATGTGCGTCGGCCGACGGCTACATACGTGTGTACTGTCATGCATATGGGCGCTGACATTAGTTCGATTATATAATTGAATATTCGCCAATTGGTCGTGATTGGACGCGCGACACACGAGCAAGCATTCAACAAACCAAAGTGTGTATCTTAAAATAAAACACGCACACATACACGCGCTGAACGAAAAGCTTGTGTCTTTCTTATTTGACAAAAATAATAATATCGGTCCAGTGACGATGCACACTGAGAGAAAAAAATAAGAAAAATTATAGCAAAAATTACCATTTCGTACAGTAAATCGAATGCGAATTGGCCAAAAAGGAAAAAATTATCATTTTCATTAGCAAAGACTAATGTTTTAACAATAGACATTGTCGTTTGAATAGTAAAAAAATATGGTTATAAAGAGTAAAAATTACTATGTTGGAACAGTAAACCTTCAAATTTTCCCGCATGGAAATTTTTTTACTGTTTTAACCATAATTTTAACTGTTAAAATAATAATTTTTACTGTTGAAAGTAATAATCTTTTCCCTTTTTGCCAGTTTACACCCGATTTACTGTGCGGAATGATAATTTATGCTGGAATTTCTCAATGATGTTTAAAATTTTTTTCTCTCAGTCTACGTCTAAAAAATATAATATACCAATAACCATAAGTCACACGATACGGCAATAAATATTTTGCCGAAGAAAAATAACCATTGTTTTTTTTTTCCTTCATTTTTCACCAAAAATCAAATACACGCAGGTTCAGCCGTAAGCTGTGCAAACGCGGATGGATTCATATGGGCTCCTTCTAGTAGTGGATAAGAGAGGCGCATGTATACGTGTAGGCCTTTGTGGCGTTATATCACCGCGAGTGCGTATATATAAATATATGTATGGGGAGCGATGATTTCGAGCAATAATAATGAGTATACCTATATTATGGTACGAGCGCGAGACGAGGCAAGACGAGCGGGCGCGCGTCTTTTGTGCCGGGCCATTTAAGTAGCCTTTAAGGGATCGGAAGCGGCCTTGACACTGCTGGAGCTTTGGCTCTCTCGGTCGCTTTCCGGCAACTTGTACATATATATATATATATCCCATTCATGCGCCATACACGGTATAGAGATTGATGTATATGTTGTTACTATTATTGCGGCCGGTGCTTCTATTTTCGGGTAGTTGCTGTGTTCGCGGGTTGATAGGCGAGCCGAGGAGTCGTCAATGAGAAATTTGTTTTTTTTTTTTTAGGAAATTCACGTCGCTGGGGCCGCTGATGATAAGCCGTAATTTCATCTGCTTACCTAGGATTAGTTTGCCTTTGGGCGTCTTAGGCGTGTGCGGGGCGTGTGTGCGTAATGTACACGGTAAAGTTAGCGCGCGCGCGAGTGAGATGATAATATATAATTGTGTGTTGGATCGACCACACGCTTGTGCGACAGTTGAAATGACTCTGTGACGTTATTACACGATCGATTATTGAATCACGAAGCTCATTGAATAATTTATCATCGATACTCGGGATCGAAGGAAGAAAAAAAACGTTTTCATGATCGCATTACGTGTGTACGCGCTTGTAGTAAACAAAAAAAAAAAAAATTAAACATGATTTTCTTAAAACTTTGGCTGACTCGAAATTCATTTATTGAGTATCTCCGCTATACATGGGTTATTGATACTTAAACATTCAAAGTATCTTTTAAACGAAACGGTTGATTCTTAAGATTATTGAGTAAAACATTGTACATATCTTTTTGCTTAAAAAATCACTATTCACAACACAATAGTAAAAAGAAATTTTTTATTCCTAGTAGACAAGTGCAATACATTTTATATGTAAATACTTTGACTTTTTTTTCCCAATTGAAATCATTAATTCTGAAAAATTATTATAAACGGTATTTGAAAAAAATTTCTTTGTACCCAAATAACGGATTAAATTTTCCGCAAGTAATTGTATTTTTTTTAAAATCGAAAAAGTATCCACTACTAGCAGTTTGACAACAGCATGAAAATAAACTTTATCTTGTTAAATCACTTCGCTACATCAATTGAATGATATATAAAAACACACACATCTCATGATATATGATACATATATATATATGTACATAAAAGTACGAGCAAGAGTAAGGTATAAGACCCGGATGCTGCGAGATAATAATAAAAACCAACGAAACACCATATGGTTGAAACCGGCAGGTAATCGGCTACGTGATAGTGGTGGTGTCGTTCACGCTGCAGCCGCTGATGCGATGCACGTGCTCGCGACTGACGGGCTTGGCGCGGCTCCTCGCCGCTGACGGTTACCTACTGGTGAGCTTCATCGGCACCGTGAACGTGTGGCGCGGCATCTGGAACGTCCTCGACCTCTACCTCCTGCCCGAGGATCCGAAGCTGTCGTGCTGGATCACCCACCTCGGCTGCTTCGTCTTTCTCATGCTGCTCAACTGCAGCAACTCGGTACTCGTCCGAGGCGTTTACATCGACGCCGAGGAGGAGGAGGCCGGCAAGTGCGTCGTCTTTCCCTGCCACTATCTGCGACTGTTTTTCAAGGTGAGCTCGTTTTCTTTCTTTTTTCCTCAGCTTTATTTATATCATTGTTATCGTTATTACCCCCCCCCCTTTTTTTTTTTTTTTTTTTTTGGATAATTAGTCTGTACGCGCGAGAAAACAGTATAATTCTTGAGCAGTAAAATTAACGGGGAAAACTAGTAAATGTATATTTAGTAAAAGAATGGGATAAAGTAAATGAGATTTTTTACTGTCGGATTAGTCAATAGCTCAATTGATTAGTGGTTTTTTCACAAGTCAGAATATAAAAAAAATGCAAGTCGTGCATTTTCATAGGATACAAGAATTGACAAAAATTAAGTAACTGGAGGTTCGGGTTTAAAACTTGCACCCAAGGAGGCCCCAACATATAGGTTCCTGGTATGGGGTTTTTTAAAAGGACTAAGCCCGAAGCCGTAAACTTGAGATTGGTGGATTAAAAAAAAAGAAAAGTTACACGTTTGCGTTACACTATCAATCGTAAAAATAGTGTTAAAATGGTGATAAAACTCTGTTTCACTTTTAGCATATATATATATGTGCCAGTAAATTTTATTCAAAGCGAAATATTAGTTTACATCCACAATGAACAATAATCGTCAATACAGCGGTCAACGAATTAATTTGTTTTCACAAATAAATACTAAACACTGCACAAAAATAACAAAACAGGAATTCATCCAACTTGTTTGGAGAAGGAAAATAATCCATGAAAAGTTAACCGCTGAGCTAGAACCATCCACCCTTTGCTGTATACAGTAAAACGTTCACCACACACCTCCTCTTTCCACGCCCAGCAAACCCCTTCCTACTCAAATGCACCAATGTAAAATATATGAAAAAAAAAAGAGCGTCTCGAAAGTAATGTAATTACACGAGTCCTGCATAATGCATGTGATAATAAAACATACGGCCAACGGTCGTATCAACTGACTGATTAGCGCGTTGTATCGCGTGTCCCGCCGACTCCGCGAATCCATTAAAACCCCAAAGCACGCGGCTGACGCGATTCTGTTGCAGGTCGAGCGCGAGAAGAAGGAGGTGCGCCGGCGGAACCTGATCGTGGCCTCGCGGGACCTCGTCGGCAGCCGGGGCGACCCCAGCGACAAGGAGACCGAGAACGGCGCCCTGCTCAACGCCACCGCCAACCCCGTCATACGGCCCGCCCATCGCGTGCCCGAGTCCCTCGTCTGAACCACCCCCCTCGCACACGAGTTTCCCAACTCCCTGCGCCTTCCTATACGGACCCGAAAAACAACTTTTTCCCAAACTTTTCTTCCTCCCTTTTTCAAGGTAAATCCTTCTTTTTTTTTTTTTTCCTTCGAAACGAGCCGGTGGTAAAGGGGTCCTTTGGGGAAATCGCGGTAAAACGTTTCGCTCGACTTCGAAGGAGGAGGAGAAAGAAAAACGGGGGAGCTTTCGCGTCAAAGCAGCGTTTTAATTATATACTCTCCGGTCTGTTCACCGCCAGTATATCAGATATATATATATATATACATGCATATGACTTTGCACGAGCAAAGGAACTGTTGTACATTGATTTCAAGAAATTAATTTGCGTGTGTATCTAATATAATATGTATATGTACACATATCTACGTCATTATGAGTGTGTATGCAGATGTTTCAACGAGGAGAGAAATGCATCAGTGAAGCTATAGAAATACTTAAAGACGTATGTATATATATATATGTAATAGGATGTAATATAGCGGATACAAAGATATACATATAGTGCTTATGCTGCTGCTTCTCAAAGTTACGGAGGAGGAAATAATATTGCGGACCAAATATTTCGTATGCGTGTACATAAAACATCACGATGCGTAAATTATCTTAGCGTTTGCACGTGCATTGTTGTTATTTTTCAAAGGGGAAAAAAAAAAAAAAAAAAAAAAAAAGGAGGGAACGCGCTGATATGCATGCTTCCTTTATTTTTCTTAATCGCGATGATTTTCGTTGTTGTTGGGTGGGCGTGTATTAGCATACATCATATTTTGCCAAGTGTATCATAGTGTATAGAGATGGTAATACATATATATATATATATATATAGATATATATATATATAT